ACCTATCCCAATTTGGTATCGGCGGCACAACCGGTACCGGCGTCCCGGCGCACCAGTGTGCCAGTACCCTCGGCCGGCCGCAAGTACACGCCCACGTCTCGCAGAGGAAACGACGTAGTTATCAGTGTGTCTCACAAACGCGAGCGCGGTTTCGGTTTCCCTTCTTTCCGGATGGCTCGCGACATTTTGTATCTGTGTCACATTGGCCATTCTCTGCACGGCCGGCCGGTCGGCCGCGACGCGACGACGGTCCGATCAAGAGCACGATAGAATGTCAACAGCGACACCCACACTGGCAAAGACTAGGAACTGGGAGCGAGCCCGCTCTCGAGGTGCAACCTTTGGCAGACAACGCTCTTTGAACCGGTGACGTTTTTTCTGTCTTTCGTGGATGGTACTCAGTGAGTTGTTAGAGGTCTTCTATTTTTTTAAAAAGAGTTAACAGGGTGCGTTGAGGTAGGTTTGGTTTCCTCTGCGCTTGGGGGGGGGGAGGGGGGACATCCGCACTGCATCCACGGCCTTCTCCGCGTACCCTGCCCGGAGTCCGCACGGAGCCGACGCCACGCGGAACGACAAACGAGCGACCGGACAAGTGCCCCGGAAAGGAAATCTAAGCTGAGGCCGCAAACATTTTGTAGCCCAAGGTCTCTAGGCCGTCTGTTGTACCGGAGGGGTGGCGCGGTGGCGCGAAGCGGGCGCTGGTACCCGCACGCACACACACACACACACACACACACACACACACACGATGCGTGCGAGTGAAGGGGGTTGGGTCACGCCCCATTGACCACACTGCTCCTGTTCGGAGCCCAAGAGACATTCGAGAAGAATTCAAAAACGATTTTCCGTTGTTTTGTTGTCTGCGCGCTGCGCATGCGGTGCGTGGTGGCACGGCATCGTGAGCAAGCCGACGTGACTCGCAAAATGCCACTCTCAAAAAAATTTAATTTTTTTTTTTTGCAAAAACACGAAATTGAAACAATATATATTCCGTGTAATTGGCCCGGCGAGTGGCAACTCTATACAGTCCAGGCCATGTCTTACAGCCCGCTGGAACATTCATTGATCGCAAAGTTGGCAACCTTACTCCTACTGCCGCGCCGCGCGCCGCGCAGACGGAGCTGGCGGTCTCGACACCCACCGCATTGGAGTCCTACGCAGTCCACGCAGTCCGCGACTCTTGCCAACCTCCAAAAACCCACACGCACAGGGAGGGGAGGGGGAGGGAGGGGAGGGAGGGAGAGGAGGGCGGGGATGCAAGCGGCCGCCGGGATGGAGACACTAGAGGCGTGTGGAATGCAGGCGATTCGCAGTCTCGCCACTTTTTTCGGCGACTGTACTGTTTTTTGCTGGCACTTGAAAGACGACGAACTCCCGCACTGTTTGAAAATAAATTTGAAAACCCCGGCAAGTATCTTATCTTTTAACAGTGCTGTAATTCACTTTACATCCATCTGACGTTAAAAAAAAACTTGAAAAAAACAATCCATAGCGCAACGTGTAGTTGACCAGTAGTGCAGGAGCTCAGGGAAAAAAAAAGCTTTCACGTCTTGTATGATTCGCGAACGCGTGGCCATCGACGAGGGAGCGTGAGCGGAGTGAGAGAGACGAGTGGAAAAAGCGTCCTTAGCGCGGGAAAAAGAGCCAATTGGAACAGCGAAGGGAATCCTCGCTCCGTCTCTCTCTCTCTCCCCGCGGTGAAGGGCTGAAGGTTGCGCGGGTCAGGAGTCGGACCAAGGCGAGGGTTCGACTCCCGATCGGAGTATTACCCGCGCAACGAGTGCATAACTGTCATCGACTCGCCACCAGAAGCAGCGCGAAGCAGACCGCCGAAGGCTAGGCGTCAAACACCGCGTCGGCCGAGTCGGTAAGTTGGTAATGGCGCTGCTGCAGTCACGATCGCCAACTATCCGAGTGTTGGCGACCACCCGGCAGGTGCCAAACGAATCGAAACGCCGGGTGCAGGCCTGCAGCCAATCCTGCAGCCATACCGGCAGGGTCGCTGCCGATTTCACCTGCCAATAGGCGGCCGGCCTTCCTGCCCGCCGAGAACAACGCTGCGTCACACTCGAGACACAAAAGCGGCGTGCCAATAGTGTGCCCGCTACGACTGCCGATAGACCGGTCCGCACAACGCGCCTTCCCGCCACGCCCGACTGCTAATAGACATTCGAAAAATATTCATTGCGAAAGCTGGCGCGCCTCTGCCGTGCAGCCGTGCCCACAGTGTCGTTAATGCACCGGCAGAACAAATGAAGGCTGGCAGACTGGTGCAGATTCGGCCGTACCCTGCCACAAATCAGACAGACAGTCAATACACCGTTTTGTAAAATTTTGCCGCCTTAGAGGATTGTTCCCTGTTGGCGGGCCGCTCTGGCAGTGTAGTGTCCCTCCGTCCCTACAGCGTGCACACCGCGGGTGTCCGTGATGCAACCGATCCGCCCAGCCATAGTCGATTGATCGATAACTTATCGCAAGCTAATTGAAACGAGCTATAGACAAGCATATACGCAATGCACACCCCGCCTCGGTGCGCCGCCGCGCGGACCACACATAGCGACAAGACGCCGCGATAAAAAAAAAATCCACCCTATACCGGTATTTGAACCCCAACTTTTTTTTCAAACATTTTTTTTTTTTTTTGCAATTGACCTACTGCGGGCTGTGATTGGCCAGCGAGCGGCGCCTCGACCGCGTTTACATGGCGCGGCGGCCTTTTGTCTCTCGGCGCGCTTTTCAAACTTGGAAATCGGAGCGGCGATGACGCCGCACTGCGAGCGCTCTTTTCGCCATCACTCTCGCTCTGCCTGCTCCGCCCGCAGTCTCTTCTCTCTCCCTCTTTTATTGCAGAGTAATTCTGTATGCAGGCCGGAAATAAACCAAACCGCAGAGCTCGGCCTCCGCGCGACAATGAAACGCGAATGGTTTGTCTCTCAAGTTCACCGACGAACAACAAGTGACTGTCACGTCGTGGGAGGGACGCGCCGGGCGCCGCGACGCCGCGACGCCCAAAAGCCCTACACCGTAAAAAAGAAAAATCTTGGACACTCGCGCGGCTGAACATTCTCGTAAAACCGTTGTCGGCCGGCCCCGGCGGGAACCCTTTAGGAATTTTTACAGCGTGTCGCCCGCCCTCGCCGCCCACCAACAACACGCGAATCAAACCGTGATAAGCGACGCGTTTTAGGCCCGGCACGTCGTCACTCTAAAACACAAAGGGCCTGGCGACAGATTGGGAGGCCCCCGCAGCCCCAGCCGGCCCCAGCACGGCCCTACGAAAGGCGGCGGGCAGACTATGGGCCCCGTAAGGGTCGGCCAGCACACTGTGAGCTGAGCTCCCCGTGTGCGGAACGGATACGAAAAATCGCGCAGTTCGAAGTGTACTGAAAAAGTCGTTTGAAAATTTGATTACTGTACTTTAGGAGTGCATGTGCATTCTAGAGCGCCATGGTCTGGATCAACTCGTTTTACATTGACCAACGCCATAAAAACACAGAATTTCAGAAATTTTGATATTTTTTTTACAGCGATCAACACATGTTTTAAAAGACTCGCAAATAAAAATGTGTTTGCCTTTCCTTTTTCGTCTGAGATCGTTGGCCTTTCCTTACGAGCCCTTATCTCTGTCCGGGACACGGGCGAGGGAAGGACCGAGGAGGGCCGGACGCGTGGGCGGCGGCTAAGGCCGGCCCGCCGCGCCCAGGGCCTTCCAGGACCTTCCAGGACGCCGTCGTCAACGCCGTCACCGCCACGAACGACAAGCCCTCGGCCAGCCCTCGCGTGTCAGCCTCTCTCTCTCTCGCTCAAGGGGCGTCTCGTGGGGGAGCGAGAGAGACGGAGCGAGAGGTTTTTTTCGGAGTCGCCGGCCAGGACGACCGCCGCGGACACGACGCGCTGTAAAGCCAGCGCGCTGTTACAGTGCCGTGGTGTGGGAGTGGCGCTTGCAGCCCTGCAGGGCCCACTCAGGGCCTCCGACTTAAAACAAAGGCTCCGGCTGGCTCACTTTTTTAGACATTATTTTTCAAAATTTTTATTTGTTTTTATTTTTGCGAGTGCACTGGAATAGGAACGGCGGCTGCCCCTGGCCTCCGAGCCCACGCCCCCTCCTCCAGAGAGCCCCCGCGCCGTGGCGGGGCGGGGCGGTGCGTGGCGGGGCGTGCCCCCGAATCGGTGCACCATGCATCTCCTCTCGCACGTGATCGCCATTTAGCAACCATTAGCACGGACGCACCGGCAGACAGTGACGTTTATGTCCACGGTCGTTTTTCTTTTTCGCTCCTCAGACTGACGTAAAATCAACCCTCCAAAAAAATAGTCGACTTTTGATACACGAAAAAAATGTAACCGGGCCGAGGATTTGAACCCACGCTCGCGTCGCGACCCGTTTAGACTCACGGCCCACGGCCGTCTGGTGATCGACGTCGCGACAACGAAGCAGTGCTGTGTGTCCACTGGAGTGCGATTCATCCTCCAGCCGCGGCCAATCCGCGATTTCAGGCACATTGCACTACACTGTAGAAACGAGGCGGACCCGCGGAAAAGTAGTTTCGGCCGCGTGGACCGCCCCGTGAAGGAGGAAAATAGTGTATTTCCGTAATAAAATAAACAAAGAGTGTTTAGCAGACGACACGCAAACGAAGCACACCTGCCCGTCCGTCATCATTCTACCTGGCCGTCTGCCCGTGACTCGGCCGCAGTGCGATTCCGAATGTCGCTCCGTCTCTCTCGCACTCGTGGAGCGTCTCGTAGGGGTGCGAGAGAGAAAGAGAGCCTGCCTGCCCCCGCGCCGTGCCCCGCGCCGTGCCCCGCACGCACACAGACGCAGTCTAATCAAATCGGCGCGCCTTCGCCAGCCGCCCGATTCCGAGAGTCGTCGCTCCGTCTCTCTCGCACTCGCGGGGTGCGGCGTACAGGTGCGAGAGAGACGGAGGAATCGGTCCGCAGTCGGCTGCCTTCCCTCCCAGTGCCGTGGGCGGGACGCAGCGCAGCGCGCAGCTTACCTCAACAGAAGACGATGTGCTGCCTCCGTCGCTACTCCGCGCGAGGGACCACCACTACACCGCTAGCCACCAACACAGCACAACACACACACGCACACACACACACACACCTGCAAAAGAGGGTTTTGTTTCTCAGACACGAGAGTGAAGGGGCGCCTCCCAGAGAGGCGGCAATCATCTCGTCAATCAGTCGAAAGAAAGGGACCCGGTTCGGTTCGGCACGTCACTGACGCCCGGCAACGCCAGGCAACGCCAGCGTCAGGGAAGTCCAGGCGGATCTCGCGAGGGAAAAAATCACGCCAGCTTCGGCGAAACGCAGTCGACAGTCTAAACATCAGTTTAGCGCACGATTTGATGGGGACGTAATTGTCCCAGCGATTAGAGTTTATTTCCGTGCGACATATACGTATAAATTCGAGGAAGCTACCGCAGCACGGACGAAAAACAAAAGTAGGCGAATTTGATGAACAGACACGAGAAATCGACCATCTGAGGAACAGAACCCTCCCTTGCCGTTCGTGTGCACTGCCGCTTGAACGACGCACTCTGGCACTGACACGACACTGGACACTTTCGGGCGCCTGAATCTTCCCGAACTGTCGCCAAAAAGCGATCCCAAACGACGCGAAGAAAGAGAGACAGAGAGCACACTGGTCGTCACCTCGCGGCGCGTAAACGTTGCCAAACGGACACGGATGGGATAGGCCGGACCTCGCGGCACTCCAGTCGATGGCTAACTGAAGGCGTCGCACGCTGTGCCGACCGCCATGCTGCCCGCGTGGGGGGAGGGGGGGAGGGGGGGGGGGTCCAGCCGTACCGCACCTCTGTGCGCGGCCACGCGGCCTCGCGGACGAGGAGCGCGGCGCGACGGAGGGACCTCTCGGGCCCACCGGCCGACAGGTGGCCGCCCAGCAGACTCGCTCTGTCTCTCTCGCACTCATGGGGCGCCCCGTGCAGGTGCGAGAGAGACAGAGCGACGACTCGCCTGCAGCTCAACCCCTCGGGGAAAATCGCGGAAATGCGTCGCGAGGACGACGCGTCGGAAGGCTTTAAGGTGACTCTGTTCCGAAGATGGAACTCAAGACAGTCGGCTTGGCTGTTCGAGGGTCCTGCAGCGACCACTGCAGCGGGTCCAGGCTGCGCCAGTGTGCGCGCAGGACGTGCAGGACTTCCCCCGCGAGGACCGGCGAGTCCTGCAGGACGCCCCGTCCCGTCCCGGCGGCCGGCGTCTCGCCCGACGCGGGGTATGTCCGCGGGACCGCCGCGTCGGCGCTACCCCGGCCGCGAGGTCCCTTAACTGCAGCCTGGCCGGCTGGAGCGCGCCGTGCAGGCCGCCGCGCCGCGACGCTGCCCCGCCGGCCTGGCTGCCTACCTCCACGGCGGCGATGGCCACGCACGGCCAGGCCCGAAGGAAGCTAGAGCCTGCCCCGGCAGCCAGGGCAACCCGCGAAGCAGACCAAGCATCACCGGAGTGCACTCTGCAGGCGGCGCCCGGCGAGAAGGCCACCCATCAGGCAGCCTCATTTGCATAACATTTGCAGTTCAGCCTCACGCACTCAGACTCTCTTCCCATCTAGTTGTGACACAGATTTTTTTGCAGCCAGCAAGTGGTGCTAGTGGTGTCTATGAAATATTTCGCAAAATCCATAATTTATTCCAGGAAAAAAAAAAAATTTTAACTGTTAAACACACTCCTACGGTTTCCATCATATAATTTTTTTAATTTTTTTTTTTTTGCATTTTTTTTTCCCTTCTTCTTCCACTTTGATCCGAATCTTTGTTCTCCTCCTCGCCGATGAATGCATCAGGCGGCTGCGGGATGACCTTGGCGGTGTCAAGGCCGCGGCCGTGATCATACCGCAGAGTGCCGCGCGGTGGACGGACGCCGCCAGGCGCTCTGTCACCGCAGAAAACACTCTCCGGCAAAATGCATCATCGGCTGCATCCGATGCAAAGCCAAGCGGAGAAGCCTGGCGCAGCCTGGCGCGGCGGCAAGCGTCACGCCATAGGCGCCTTGACATTTCATGTGTGATCGACGACCACCAACCGTGTGTGTCTGTGTGTGTGTGTGTGAGTGTGCACCAGGGTGGAGGATATAGTGGGTGATTACGTGTGAGATTACAACCGTGCGGAGCAGATGCGCTGTCGTCCCACTTTCCCACGTGCGGCGCTCACCGTTTGTTGACGTTCGGATGCAATAAGAAAGATTTTTTATTATTTTTGTTTTTGTTTGGTTTTTGGTTCATGCCGGCGCGTGTGAGTGTGGATGCTTGGTTCCCGTCGTGCGTGCGTAAGTGTGTGTTGGTGTGCGGTTTGGTGGGTGCAGCCGGCTCGGCCACCCACACGTGAGACAACGGCGGTCCGTGAATGTTATCATTTTAGGGAAGTTAAAAACTCCTTCCAGACTCTTTTTTTTTTGCTACTATTTGGCGGGCCGTTTGTGTGAGTGTGTCCTTGGGTTCTGCGGGGACCGCGGCGCGGCCCAGGGTCTGCGGCATGGGTCTGCGGCATGGGTCTGCGGCATGGGCCTGCGGGGCGATACAGGCCCCCGATAGGCCGCGACGCCGCCGCAGTGCGCACTTGGAACTCGGAACGGGTCCTGGAGAGCCTCTAGAAGCCCCGTCGCCCTTAAATTTAAAAAAAAAATTAGGAACTTAATTTATTTATACTTACTTTATTTATTTGAAATTTACTTACGGGGTAAGATGGGAGAAATCCGTCCCCAATTTTATTGCGTAGTGGTGGCACCTTTGCTCTAGTTGTTAGGTACTTACTCGCCACTCACTCACACACACACACGCGCACAGAGACACACTCACACACACACACACACACACACACAGACGCAGCAGGATTCGGCGGGTCTCGTGCCACAGGCAAGTAGCGCACTCGAACCCCCCAGACCCAGTGATAATGAGCAACGCAGCGGAAACACACAAATACACACACACACACACACACACACACACACACAAATACAGCGTATCCTGGCAAGAGAGCCAACGTCAGTCGGAACGACTCCGTGCTCGTCGTACTTCATCGCATGCAAGACACGGGGAATGGCTACAGCGCCATGCATGCCGTCGATAAGTCGATATCAACAAACAGTGCAGTGCATCCAACACGACAGTAACTGCAAAAAGTAAAAATTGGGGCAAAAAATTTAAGTGGCTGCCGGCTTGTAACTTGGCCCCCTTATCTAGTGTGGCTGACGTCACAGTCAAATACTGAGCTGCCTATCTGGGAGTAGTCACGCGTATCACGCAAGCGAGCACTGATTGTATTACTTCTTTTCATATGATCTCTAGTCAAGTCCGTAATCTGGTTCGGGCAAACCGGGAAAAAATAAAAATGATTTTTCTTGCTGATTGTGTTTGTTTTGTTGTTGTTGTTTTTTCCTCTGCACATCCGCCTCTTAAGCACAGTCGGTACGAAATTGACCTTCCTCCAGCTGATGGCGATGTCGCGTGGGGTGCCCACGGTGTGCCCAATGCGCCCTCGGGCCAGCGGGGCCTTTCGAAGACAACCCGCGCGCAGTGGGCCAGAAGACCGGTGGAGGCGGTCCAAATCCCGGACGCGTTTTGAGCTCCAAAGTCACTAAATAGGACTCGAATCGAACGTGTGACCCCACCAATGGATTGCTCTCCGAACGAGGAATCCATTGATGGGGTCACACGTTCGGTTTGAGCCCTGTTGGCGACTCTGGAGCTCGCACAACGCGTCTTTAGTTTTGGCCGCCGCGACCGGTCTTCTGGCCCACTGTGCCCCGACTTGCCCGCCTCCGTCTTGGCCTGCTCCACCACCTCGACGATGTCGCGCCCTGGTACATCCCGCGCAACAAGTAGCGGGGTGGGGCACCTGGGGCACACGCCAGCGGTAGTCACACTCGTCGAGCCAAGGCACCGTCCGGAAGCGAAGGCGGGGCGAAGGTTGATCGAAGTCCTCATTGAATCGCTCGGGCCTGGCCGGGCCTGGCCGAGCCGGGCCGGGCCGCCAGGGCACACCCCTGGGCACACAGTAGTTATCCGCCTTTGATGGGCCCCGCGGACGCGGACCGCCAAATAATTGATGCTTGTCGGCGCCGTTGGGGCATCGCCGCCTTGTCACCAAGTCACCACCACACTGCCATCACCATGGCGACGACCTACAGCACCACGCCCTCACACTGGTAGCCACAGGCCTTCCTCCAGCCCACAATGAGTCTGACAAATAGAGCAACAGCCCCATCCCGCGTCCTGGGCTCGCCCTGGCTCGCCCCTGCTGGGGGTGGTACGGGCCTCCCCACCACGCCCACCCCGCCCCGCCCCACCGCGCTGGCCCCACCACGCCCCACCATGGCCCCGCAGCTCTCAGTTCCCTGTCGGGCGTCGGGGCGCGTGGTCGCCGTTCCCTCCGCCACGCCACGCCAGCGTCGCATCCTGGGCGATACCAGCACCAGGCCGGCGGCACCCGCGACACCAGAGCACGCCGACGAGGAGGCTGCAAGCGAAAACGGCCGCGGCGGCCCCGAGAGGTCGCGGTGACGCTGGGTGACGCCGCCGCCCACATCCACCCCCTCTTGCTGGATACAGAACGCGCCCCGGCCGCCCCGATCGAAGACTACCCCTCGTGCCGCGCCGTGCCGTGCCGCCCCGTGCCGCCCCGTGCCGCGCCGCGCCAGGCTGGAGGCATGTTGTTGGGGTCCAGCGGCAGCATCCCGCAGCCCCTCCATGCCGCCCCCGCGCAGGCCGACCAGGCAGACCCCGGGGGCAGGCCCCGCCGTCGTAAGGCCAGCCTAGGGCCAGCGGGGGCCCAGGCCACAAGGCGCACCTAGGCCGGCAGGGCCAGCCCAGGGCCAGCCAGCCGCTCTGGTGAGTAAGGAGTACGCCAGCCGCGTAGCCGCCGCGGACTGCACTACTGCACTGCAAACTACTGCACTGGAAGCCGCAGCTAGCCGCGGCAAGGCGTGTAAACAGGCTATCGCTCACCAACACCGTCATCATCGCAGCCAGCTTCCAGAACAGAAAGAAATCCGAGAAAACTCTCGTGGATTCAGTAAAAGTACATTTTAAAAAATGGCGAAAAAAAAATTGGCAGCGAGGCAGGCTTGAACCCGCGACAAAGTAATCCGTTTCCCAATTGGGCAGTGCGAACACTTTCAGCCTGCCTATGCCTTCGCTGAACCGCAGTCGAACGAGTGGCAGCGCTTCGCGGGGCTTTGCGGGATTCTCACGCCGGTCTAGCCAAACATAGAGGCGGGAAGGGAAGGCACGGCAGCGATTTCCATCTGTTCCATTTAGCAAGGCCGCGGGTCAAGTAACGCAAGGCTTCGCAAGGCTTGCCAGGCCGCCCTGGGAATCGCCGCGCCATGCCACGCCACTGGAAATCGCACAGTCGGCCCGGCAGCGCGGCGACCCGGCAAACGGTGTGGTGGCCACCCGCTCCGTCTCTCTCGCACCCCCACGGGACGCCCCACGCGTGCGAGAGAGACAGGGCGACGATCGCCCGCTTGACAAATACGCTTCCGACGACGTCCCGCGCACCGCGGCACCAAAGACTCTCCGGAACCACGCCTCGAGGGGGCGGAACTAACAGTGGCGGGCCCGGCCCGGCAGGGCGCAGACGCACAGTGGGCCAGAAGACCGGTGGAGGCGGCCCAAACTCTAGACGCGTTTTGAGCTCCAGAGTCGCTAAACAGGACTCGAACCGAGCGTGTGACCCCACCAATGGATTGCTCTCCGAACGAGGAATCCATTGGTGGGGTCACACGTTTGGTTCGAGTCCCATTTAGCGACTCTGGAGCTCAAAACGCGTCTAGAGTTTTGTCCGCCCCCACCGGTCTTCCGGCCCACTGTGCACCGTGAACGCGCCGACGACATTCTCATAGCGGCGGCTGGGCAGCGCGCGGCGCGTGGCGCGGCAGTCTGACCCGCCCCGCCCAGTGTATACACTGCTAGCTGGCGGCGCTTGCAGCACCTGCGCCTGGGCTTCCCCTAGCCGCGGCCCGCGCGGCGCCTCGAGCTGGCCGCGGGCCAAAAAGAAAAATAGATATCCGCCGAAAGCTTTTAGCTTTCAGTTTTATTCTTTTGTAACTGGATCATTTCGTTTTAGAACGAAGTCATGAAATCGACGGGGACGGAGTGTGGCGTCATTCTCGACAATGCCTCCACGGGCTGGGCACCGAGTACCGACACTGACCCCACGGGCGTAAAGGCGGCAGTGTCACTCGCATAAAAGAGTGAGAGTGCCGGCTAGTTTGACGAGCAGACGCTCCGACGGTAGCCACTGTAATGGCAGCCTTGGCCAAGGCCTCGGCCGCACCATGCATATTGCATTCTTCAGTCCCGGGTGAGACACTGGAACCCAGAGCGGTGCATTTCCGATACGGCGAGGCGCCGCTCAAGTTGACGGAAAGCCGTTTCTGCCGACCAAAGCTGAGCCTTCCGCGCTAAGGAGAAAGGGAAAGAGAGAGACAGGGAGACAGAGAGAGAGAGCCGCAGGGCCGCCCCTGCTCTAGGACTGCAGAAGTTGAGCGCGACCTAGAATACAAAGAGGGTTCGGCCGAGGTCCCGCGCCACTCGGCCCCACTGGGCGCATGATGTCATACCAAGGGTCCTGGGGCGGACGGGCAGACAGACGGACAGACGGACGGACAGACGAGCACACTGGCAGACGCACTGCGGCAACGATGCGGCCAATTTTGTAAACACTGACCTAGCCAAGCCAGCGAGCCGGCGTAGCCAGCCTGGCAGACGCAGGGGGGTCAGAGTTCGAGGACGCCAGAGCCAGAAGTGCAGCGCGCGCCGCAGTGCAGGCAGCAGTGCAGGCAGCAGACTCATTCCGGGAGTCGCTTTCGTCGCTCTGTCTCTCTCGCACTCATGGGGCGTCCCGTACAGGTGCGAGAGAGACAGAGCGACGACTCTCGGAATGAGTCTGCTGCAGGCGCACTGCAGGCGCACTGCAGGCGCACTGCGGGCGGCTGGGTGACGTCCGCCCCGTCCTTTTACTGCCGGCGCCAGAGCCCCACGGTGACCTCATGGCTGCGGACAGACGGACAGACAGCTGCGGTTTCGAAACGCGTGTCGCTGTAGGTGCCTCAGTGGAACAATACTCGCCGGTTATTTCTCGGAATATTTTTTTCCGCCAGGGTAGGCAACCCAACTGACGCCGACGGTCGCCCTGCAGCCCTCCTGACGGCGGCCCGCCCGCCTGCGCCGTCCGTTGGGTTGCCCACCCTGACGGCGCTCGCGGCCCGGAGGCCGGAGGCCCGCGGAAGCGAAGTGAAAGGCGATTCGATACGAGGCGGGCCGTGCCTCGTGCCACGAGCCCCGGCCCGCCCCGGCACACAAGGGGCTTGTCACTTAGCAACGAGACGGGCCACTAAGCTGGGGCTGCGGCCGGCCAGCCCGGCCACCTCGGAATTAATTAATTTACGATCGGTGGCCCGGCCGGCCGAGCCGTTCTTCGCTCCGTCCCGCTCGCACTCACGCGCCGCGCCGCGAAGGTGCGAGGGGGACGGAGCGCCGTTCGGAGGCAGACGACTAGGGGATGCTCAGGGTTATTGATTCCGGCCCGAGGGCGGAGGAGCTTTTCTTGCCGACGGTGCATTTCGGCTGATCCAGACCGCCCCACTGTGGGCCAGAAGACCGGCGGAGGCGGACAAAACTCTAGACGCGTTTTGAGCTCCAGAGTCACTAAATGGGACTCGAACCGAACGTGTGACCCCACCAATGGATTGCTCTCCAAGTGTGAAGGTATCATCCGCTAAAAACTGAAACGCCTCTTACCTGCGCAGGGATGGTGCGGCGTGCGCTGGCGCTGTTCAAGGCCTGCCTGGTGGCGGTGGGCTGCGCCGCCCTGGTGCTGTTCTACTTCCTGAGCGGCGTGCCCACCGCGCCGCCCGCCGCGCCGCCCGCCGCCACCCTCCACGAGGAGGCGCAGCGCCAGCTCCTGGCGTTCCTGCGACGCCCGCTGGAGAACGCCACCATCGCCATGGGTACGTCGCCGCGTCGCCCCGTCCTGAGAACACCATTCCAGCACCGAAAACCTAAGAGAGTACTCAGCACGCACATAGGTGTGAACTCGATACACACTTCAGTTTTCAGTGTATAGCTTTAATTTATGGCACACAATACAAAGTACACAAATTATCTGTCACCGCGCCAATTTACTTTCCATCTGATCGGAACGAAATAACGGGGACCTCATCAGGGCTTGATGCTCCCCCCCCCTTTTCAATTTTGCCACTGGCCCGTAATTAGATAAACGCCCCAAGGGAGCGTCACGTTATCATGCCTCCCTCCGGAGCGCCATCACGAAGGGCAGCTCCCTCTGTCTCTGTCGCACTCATGCAGCGTCGCGCATGGGTGCGAGGGAGAGAGAGACAGAGGGGCGACAGGTCGGTCACGGTCGCAACGCGCGGTCCGAACCGAACCTGGCCGTGTCACAGGGCCGAGTGTTACCGGTGAAGTAAGGTTAGGATGCCGGTTAAAAGACAACAGAACAATTAAAAGCAATCTCGCATTATAAATCGAAGGTAGTCTTAGTCGAGGGCTTGCTCAGACCTAACCTCTCACATGTCGCCCAGCCGTCACTCTGACCATTTAGGACTCACACGATTCACAGAGATCAGCACACGAGAGTTTGGTGTAAATAACTGAGACGTCGCCAAAGCTTACCTTGACACGATGAAGACGACAATCAATAGATGTGAGTGAACTATGAGATGCAGAGAATAGGTCAAATGGGCCGGCCATACTTAAGTTGTCATTCGCAAAATCTGCCGCGAGTGCAGCGCGACGGTGGCGCCTTCTACAGGAGCTTCGCGCGAACTACACGAGACGAACCCCGAAGCACAACGGCCACTGACTTTGAATGAATGAGAAATTAATGTTTTTTTTCGACAGGTGCGCCTCCGCCCGGCTACCTCGTGTACAGTCCGTCGTGCCGCATCCCGGACACGGACCCGTTCCACCCGTCGCTGCAGAAGCTGGTGCACCGCGAGGACCCCGTCGTCTGCTCGTCGCTGCCGCCGCTCACCTACACCAAGCTGGTGGCGGGCAGCGACCACGCCGGCGCGCTGGGGTCGCTCGCCATGCACCTGCTTCGCCTGGACACCGAGCTGCTGCCCAAGTACACCCCGAGGTTCTACCACAACGTCACGTGCTGCTACCAGAGCGTCACCCGGGTGGACCCGGAGCCCGGCGCCACCAAGGTGGACAAGGACGTCGACAACAAGTTCCAGTAAGCACACCCGCCGTCTGAAAAGAAAAACCGTTGCGCGGGTGTTTGAACCCCGGTCCTTGTCCGCAGCATGGGCCGTTGCGAGGACCTGGTAGGCGAGGCGCAGCTGGAGCCCGACGTGGAGTTCGTGATGGTGCGGTGCTCCGCCACCCGGCCGGGCTGGCGCACCAAGAAGGTCTACACCAACATGCACGCCGTGGTGGCCCCCAAGGCCGCCATCCGGGCCAAGCTCAGGGAGAACCCGGCGCGGTGAGTCCCGAGTTCGCACCCTACCGGCCTGTTCCCATTCATTTTCTCATCGCGCGCCTTGTCACTCCCCCAGCGAGCCCGGGGACCCCCGCATGTCCGTGCTCATCATCGGCGTGGACTCGGTGTCCAGGCTCAACTACATCCGCACCATGCCGCGCACGTCCGAGCTCCTGCGATCCCACGGCTGGTACGAGCTCCGCGGCTACAACAAGGTGGAGGACAACACCTTCCCCAACCTCATGGCCATCCTCACCGGCATGACGCGGCCCCAGGTAGGAGAATGAGTCAGGGTTGGTCCCCCAGTCACCCAGTGATAGGGGGAGGCTCTTAATTGACGGAGCCATTGTTGAAAGTCCTTCTTGAACGTTGAATTTTGAACCTATGGTCCTTGCCGCCCAGGTGGAGGAGCGCTGCTTCCAGACGGCCATGACGCCCATGGACGACTGCCCCATCATCTGGCGGAATTTCTCCCGGGCGGGCTACGTGACGGCCTACGTGGAGGACGAGCCCACCATCGGCACCTTCAACTACAAGAAGGCCGGCTTCAAGCACGCGCCCACCGACTACTACCTGCGCCCGTTCCTGCTGGCGGCCCAGGACCACATGCAGGTAGCGTTTCGCGTTCGGGGGTCGGGAAGGGCGTGACTGGCGTGACGAAGCCGAGGGCTGACGCTGCCGTTGTCACAGGTGCGTCGGCTGCACCGCCTCAACGCGTGCCTCGGCCCCACCACGGCCGCCGAGCACATCCTGGGCTACGCGGCCAGCATGGCGACGCTGCTGCGCGACAACCTGTACTTCGCGCTGTTCTGGATGAACTCGTTCAGCCACAACAGCGCCAACTCGCCCAGCGCCATGGACGACCGCCTGTTCCACTTCTGGAGGGACTTGCTGCGCTCCGGGGCCCTCAAGGACACCCTGGTGCTGTTCCTCAGCGACCACGGCATGCGCTTCGGGAAGATCCGCGAGACGGAGGTAGGTCTGCCTTGCAGTGCGCCTTGCAGTGCGCCTTGCCGCCTTGCGCCGCGCGCCGTGCCGGCGGGCAACCCAACTGACGTCCGCGGCCGGCGGCTTGCAGGTGGGGTGGCTGGAGGAGCGACTGCCCTTCATCAACGTGTGGCTGCCGGAGTCGTTCCGACGGCGCCACCCCGAGGCCGAGAAGGCCTTCCGCGCCAACGAGGACCGCCTCACCACGCCGTGGGACGTCCACGCCACCCTGCGCGACGTCCTCCGCGTGTCCGGGGTCCCGGGTGACGCCACCCCGTCCGCCAGCAGCGCCTCCAGCTTGGCCTCCAGCGAGGACTCGGGGACGGTGGCGTGCCCGGGGTGCCAGTCCCTGTTCCGCGCCGTGCCCGCGGACCGCGGCTGCGCCGACGTGGCCGTGGACCAGCACTGGTGCACGTGCCTGGAGTACGCCTCCTTCAAGCCGGGCGAGCGCGCGGCGCGCGGCGCGGCCGAACACGTGGTGCGCTTCATCGCGGACAAGCTGGCCGAGCGGCAGGCCGCCAACGCCTCCACCCTGGACGCGGGCTGGCACTGCGCGCCGCTCAGCCTGCACAAGGTCAAGTCCGTGCGCGGCCGCGAGCTGCAGCGCGGCGTCCGGGACTTCATCGTCATCCTGGAGACCAGCCCCGGCCACGCCGTGTTCGAGGCCACCGTCCGCGCTACCAAGACCAACAGGTAGGCCTCCCCACGCCACTGCAGTCCTCCCAACGGCCAAATTCAGCGTCTGAATCCCGAGCTGCCCTCGCTTTTCACGCGCTGGTTTAAGTTAAGGAGGTGTCGGCAGTGGCAAAAGTACGGTTTTAATAAAAAGTAAGCCAACCAAACCCATTTAAACTGAGATAAGGATCGGGCACTAGAGGCACGAGGCGCAAGGGAAGACAGTAGTAAAACAACCGTTCGGCGGGGCGGGGCGGGGCATTTACAAACATGGTTATGCTCGACATACTTCCCTGTGGGTCGCTTCGTTCTGATCTCTGCCGTATTAACGGTCGTTCCGAATTTTGAAAAGTATAAATATTTAATAAAGGTTCATCGTGATTCTGATTTGTTGCAGCAGCACCGGCGCCGGCAAGGACAAGAAGGACAAGCAGGCCGTGCAGTACGAGCTGCTGGGTTCCATCAGCAGGATCAACGAGTTCTGGGAGCACAGCCAGTGCATCCACAACGCCGACCTCAAGAAGTACTGCCACTGCTCGCGCGCCGCCGCCCCCGCCGCCCCCGCGCGCTCCCACCGCAGGGGCTGAAGGAGAAACTTTGAAAAGACGAAAACTGTGATGCGTGGCAGCAGTAATCCAAGCCCGCGACTTTTGGTTCCTGGAAGAAGTCGATTGAGCCCGTGCCCACATTCCAGGGTGTTTGTGTGTGTGAGTGTGTTTGTAGGTGTGAGTGTGCCGTGTATGTGTGTATGTGTGTGTGTTCGGGTGCAATGGACTTGTTCGTGAGTGTATGTGATGTTTGTAAGAGCCTGTGCCTCGGCGCACGCCCGACTGAAACTGTGACGTCGCAGTGTCCGAAACGAATTGTCTGTGTTAACTGTGTATAGAAAGAAACGAATTATATTTTACCATTTGCACCGTTTTGTTAAAAGCCCGACCTTTGAATGCCTCCCAGTACATCCCACAGTGTCCCCGCCGTCGGCGACTCCGTGAGCCGCGCCGTGCTCGCTAGGCAACCGGCCGGAACTCCGCACTCGCGGGCATTTTGAAATGTGTGCGACAGAGAAAGCTGCGACTTCCGGCTTCCGGGCCGGAGATTAAAGTGTGCCAGCCCTCGGCCAATGGCAGCCAATGGCCAATGCAAACAGATCCTGTTCCTGCGCCCCACTGCGTTACGTCGTCTTACGCCGCGGGCGCGCGCGGGTCACTGTCTGTTTCGACGAGCCCCCGCGGCCCCCGCGGCCCCGCCCGCGCCATGCGCGTCGCCACGCGCACGCCGTGTGGTCATCGCACGTGCGATCCGCGAACTGCAACGCTAATATCTTTCCCAACCCTTTTACTGCGAAAACGTTCCCGGATTTGTGAGTGATGGCCGGTTTTTCTGGCCGGGCTAGTGCGAGTGGCCATTATACCCTCACGACACGAAGAAGGCCCTTCCCTTTCGCTTCCCACGGGCTGGGCCGCGGGCTGGGCTTGGCCATGGCCCGGCCGTGCCTTCGCGCCTTGGCACTGGCACGGGCCACCGGTTCGGGCAGGTATAGGGCCCAGCCGAGGGCCTAGCTCAAACGGCCGGCGCAGAGGAATCCACCAAATGCAAAACAAACAATTGCCGGCATGGAGATTTTCCTTCGGTTTTAGTCGGCTGAGCAAAACTATTGTAATAAAGTTCGCGCGTTTCATAAAAAAAATTGCCTTTAAAAAACATTAACTTGTCAATATAACTGCTCGGTTCTTTCCGCTGCCGTTTTCCTCGGCGGCGCTTCCATTTGTCATCTTTGTCGCCGCGGAGTGCTTTTCCCCAATCTAGCGGCCGCTCTGCTTTCTCCCGCCAGAAAGAGAGACAGAGAGACAGTGTGGGAGTCGCATTCCAGGGCGTCCCGATACAGTTCCAGGCGCTCTAATCTTTCTAGTGGGTGGCCGCCTCTGTTGGCGAAAACCGGCACCTCCCTGACCGCGACCGCCCATCAGTTATTTATTTTTATTTCTGTGGTTAAAGTGACACCGAGCCCCAATAAACGGTAACCGGAAGATTATTTTCGTGACTGCCTCAAACTCGTTTTTCGTTTATTCACAGTGGACACCCTGCTCCGCCGTGCTGCGCACAGTGCAGAAGTGCCCGGCGTCCGAGCCACTTAGCATGATGCAGGAATTCGAGAAAGTGGCTTCCTTCCTTGCCATATCCTTGATCGTGGCGACGCGGCCCTGAGCCGTTGGCCTTGTTGCGCAGCCCAAGGACCTCCAAGGACATCGACCCCTCTCTCTCCCTCTCTCGGCTGCAACTGCAAGGATGGAGCCGGCCGCGTGGCCGCACAAGTCGACCCGAGTCGACCACTGCCTCTGCCCCGCCAGGAGCTGCTGCAATGTCAACTTCCTCTCTGATTCAACCGGGGTGACCAAACGATCGGAGTGACACCCAGCCATCAGTCGATTTCGCTAAAAATTTGGAAAACAAAGACAATGTCACTTTGAGTCAAAATGCGCAGCTCTGGCTCTGAATGAATGTTCAGACACTCCGAGCATTCAGTATACGTCCAGCTTGCCCAGAGAGCCCCAAGCCGTCGCCGCGCACTTGAAGGGGCCTAGAACGGCTGCCCGAGTTAAATATCACCTCATCACTCTCTGATGGTTTCGATTGACCGAGGCATGGCCGATGGCTGCCGATGGCTGCCGATGGCCGCGGCAAGCCGGAGCTGGTCAGTCGCGAATGTTAGAGGAGAAAGTCCGGCCGGCCTGCTGGCCGGGCTGGCCGCGCCGGCCGGCTGGGCGGATCTGTGCAGAGAGAAGGGCTCCTCCACCACGGCCGGGACGGCCGGGATGTGATCCGGGTTGCGCCGGACTCGCCTCAAAGAACAGGATCTATGAATACCTTGCCGCGCGTGGCGGCCGAGGGACGCGGGTTCGAACACCCGCCTACCGGGAGGCCCTTTTTTGCCGTCTCCGCCAAGTTTAGGGTTCATAAAAGTCGGGCGAATTGCGGGTAAAAATTAGTGGCGGCTGGCACGCCCCCTCCATTCCTGCAATACCACTTGCGGAGCAAAACTATCCAATTAGAAGATGCGTCGGCGATAGGGGCTGATTAGGGCAAAGGGAAGGAGTCGTGTTTGTTGTGGGTTTCGCGGAACAGAAAACAGGGGGCGTGCCGCGGCGTGCCGTGGAACATGAAACCACGCACCGCGAAATATTTGAATCAACTATTTGGAATGGCAGGAACGCAATGCGCTTCTCCAACGCGAGCCATCGCACCATGCCCGCTTTACGGGCTGGGACGTCCGCCGTCCGTCCGTCTGTCTGCCTGCCAGCCTGTCTGTCCGTCTGTCCGCCTGGAAATGGTTCGAACTACAGCACCATATCCCTAACAACTCCGCCGTTGCAACTTTCTTATCCAGACACCAGGAATATAAAGCGAGAAAATGAATGGCGATGAAGCCGGGGAATGCAAGCAGTGCCATAAGTAGTTCCAAACAAACTGCAAAGTAATCTCAAAGTGGCGACCACGGACGCCCTTAGTGTAATTGGCTGAGCGGGAATAGAAGTACAGACACACTGCAAAAAAACGAGGATGATATTTTCTGGAAAACTTCGACAGTGTGGAACCGCTTCTTCAGGCTTGGCTGGACAAAACGCCGCGCTTGCAGGAAAAGGCTTGCATCGCCCGGGGGCTGATATTTATTCCTAATTTGCCGCAATTAGCTGCGTTTTCAGGTGTGGACCGTGCTACACTGTCAAACGACTCCCTTTTCTCCCCCCCCTCTCTCTCTCTCTCTCTCAGTTGTTTTTGTTTTTGTTTTTTTTCCTAGAGTGGAATTTTGATTGACAACGGTCAAGAAACACGTGATACGGAAGCGATGGCGGACCGAAACTGCCACGCGCTCGGAGCGTTTTGAGCGTGTGACAGTTGGCACTTGTCGGCGCGGTGCGCGCGCCGCTCGTCGTGCCACACAGTGTGCCACACACGCGCGGCGCACGCGTCGCACACGCGTAGCGCACGCGCCAAAGAATTCATTACGGTAATGAGTGCGATAGCATCACGGAGCAGGCTAGCCGGCCGCGCGGCACGGCGCGGCACGCGCTAGTCAGTATGTAATTGGTTAGGGCAGGTTGGCCGCCCCGATGCGGAGGTTGGCCGCACTGGCCACACGTCGCCGTGAGCGTGGCGCGTCTTCAAAACGCTGCCCGTCAAATTGACCCAAACAAGGTTTTAAAAAACAATTAAATAAACAAGAATGTGTAAACTGATGAAAATTTGACGCGGTTATGTCCACCACATCAGAGTCGCTGGCCTGAAGCCGAGCTAACTTAGACAGACCGTGCAACAGTTTAAAGCGTTACGGGCTGGAGTCGTGTCGGCACTTGGGAAGTATATCTAGTGTGACGGCAGGGAGAGGGGCTGCTTTGAGGGTCAGCTTACGCCGAGCGGACTGTGCATGCGGGAGTTTGGGAAGTGAATCGATGATCGAAATTTGGAGGGAAGACCAAGCGGAAAGAAAAACTAAAGCACAAAAATGATCGATTTATATGGATCCGCCATTGACTTATACGCAATTCATGGCATTTAGTTGCCACCACTCGTAGAAAGCATACATTTTACGATGTGCGAAATAATTATCAGAATGCTGGATCAGAATGTATGTGCAGCACCAGTTCCATGAGCGAGTCGGAATTTTTAAGGCCCGCAAGGAGGGAGTTCCTATCTCTTCAATTTATGGTATGTACCCGACATTTTTTCTTTCCTTGTTAAATCCTGATATTCGAGTCACTCTTCGTCTGGAGTACCTACACGGGTCTGCACGCTTGCGTGAGGGCCCGCCAGCCCCACCAGCCCCGCCAGCCCCGCCACCAACAAGACCAAAAGCAACAACAAATCTAGCTCGGCCACATCTCCCTAATTCGCATGTTTGGTTAGCAGTTTGCCTTCTATACACGCCCTGGGAGGAGTCGCCTGAGTGCTGCTATGACAGACAGACAGGCAGACAGGCAGACAGGCAGACAGCGCTTGCAGTGACGGACGGGGGCTCATTTTGCGCGTTCCCGTACGTCGTCCGCAGGGATTCGAGTCAGAAAACAACAGCCAGCGCCACACTCATGGGACACAATGCCGGGCGTTTCGAAGGCGGCGGTGAAATGGCGCCGTTTTCGAACGCAGCACGCCACTTCCGGTCGTCGTAGGAGTCGCCTTTCCGCCGCGGCGTGCCGCGTCGCCTTGATCGATCTCAGCCTCTACGCCCTCGGAGTGCGTCGTGTGTGTGACCGTAAGTGTGCGTGAGCGTGTGAGTGTGCGTGTGTCCATATGTGTGAGCCCATTGAGAAGTCAGCTGAGGTGGGTGAGACGTAGGTGGGATGGAGGCGGGGAGTGGGTGGAGGGCGGGGAGGTACTTCCCCCTCTCGGCGCTACCCGCCGCCCGCCCGGCCTGCCCTGCCTGCCCCACCCTGACATGCCTTACCGGCCGGCGTGTGGAGTGGCGAATGCTCCGCGCCCCGCCCCGCCCCGCCCCGCCCCGCCCCGCCACTCCAGACCCCTGAGCAGAACATGAGGCTGGGCGTCCGTCCCGCAGTCGCTCCCGTTCCTCAGGTGTGAGAAGTCCTCCGCGGCGGAGTGGAGTGTTCACTGCTCGGCGTTCCGAGCGTTCCGAGCGTTCCGAGCGGCAGCCGCGGGTCGCGGGTTCGACTCCCGGCCGCGGAAGTCGCGCGGGCTTTCTTTTTCCGTTGAACCGCGACCGCCACAACGAGCAACCAGCACGGCGCCCCGAGGACACCAGCAGATCCGGGAACCCGAGAAGGCGCCAGACTCCAGTGACTCCAGTGACTCCAGGGCCCGGCCATGCCGCATGCCGCGACATACAAGGAGCGCGGCGTGGTCGGGCTCGCCCCCGTCCCGGCCCGTCCCGGCCCGTCCCGGCCCGTCCCGCGCCGCGCCGCGCCGCACAGTCGGATGAGGATAACCTGAGCGCGTCCTGGCCGCGCCGCCCACGCCCCCGCGCCGCCAGGATGTGGAGCATGGACTGTGTCAAGTGCGGAGGACTTTCTGTGGGAAACGCTAGCGGAGCCTACTCCCCGACCCAGTCGCGTAGATCACAGCCTGAGCCTGTGAGTGTGTTCGGTCTGCCTCTCGTGGTGGTTTAAGTTAACACCGGGTGAGTTGCTGTGACAGTCGGCGGTGACGTCCTCGGCTCCGGTTCGGCTGAGTTTATAAATATACCGCGTAATTTTTGTGACCTTTCTTCCGCCTCCGCCATCGGCGGCGCTGGATCGACGGGGCCGTCGAAACGGAGGGGCGGCGCGGGGCCACTGGCACGCTCCCCCCCCCCCCCAACCCCCGCCACGCCGGGGCACTCTGGGCAGCCAGGCGCGACGCAGTCTAAATTAATTAAGTCAAATGAATAGGAGCCTGCAAGTTTGCCAAGTTAGCCGTGCAAATGTTGCGCCGGGTTCGCTCCGTATCCCCTTTTTTGTGAGGGTCATTTTTATGCATGAGTATGCGAGCATCTCGGGGTGAGTTGCGGCGATGGCCCCGCGGGGTAGCCAGTGCTGCCTGCCACATTACGAGGCGAAACTTTCCACTTTGCTCCAGTGCCGAAAGGGTTGCAAACCTCAGCTGGCCTACCGGGCAATGTCTAGGCTATGCTCTGGCCGAGGGTGGGGCCGAGGGTGGCAACCCTTCCCTTCCGACACCGGCGCGTCGCGGATGTGGCAACACTTGCGCTGCGTGGCGGGTTGGAGCGCCTGGCGGGTAGGCCGGCCCGCCCCGCAGCCTGGCTCGACGGGCGGGACTACCTGCCGGGCGCTCCATCCGCTCGCGCGGGCCACAGCCACTACTGTGTGGTCGGACAAAGCCAGCCAGTGGGGCCGATAGGACAATCCCTTCGCTGGATCCGACTCCCGATGAAGGGAGACAGGGCCCCGAAGCGTGCCCAGAGGTGTGCCCGCCGAAACTGGTCTTCTTCTGGCCCACTAACGCGCTGCGGTCCGCGGGCGCCGAAAAGCCGAACGGCGGATGGTTCGGACGCCACCTGGGCTGAGGCCCACGCCGCCAGGCCGCCAGGCCGGCAGGCCGGCAGGGGGCGTCGGGCTGGCGGCTGCGTCCGAGGGCGGCGCAGAGCGGCGCCGCTCCCCGCGCTTCCGGCCGCCGTCCGGATCTGCTTCCGGTGTCCAATTAGCGGTGTAGGTTGACCGAGGGGAGGGGCCTCCCCGTCTTGATGGTCTTGATGGTCATGCTGCGGACTGATTCCGAGAGTCTACGTCTTCCTCGCACCTGGACGGGACGCCTCTTGCGTGCGAGAGAGACAGAGCGAGTCCGCTGGTCTTGATGGTCTTGGTGGCAAGGAATGCGCGCTTCTCCTTCTAACGCAGCCCGGCCGCGCTGCCGCGCCCCTCCCCGCACAACCGCGCCTCTTCCAGGGAGACGCCCCGCCCCGCACGCGACTCTGATAACCAGCGTCTTACTTTAGCCTCTTCACGCGCGAGGCGCGCGCCACGCCTCTCTGTTCGATGTTCTCATCAACGTCTCACATCGAAACTGACGAACCGTTTTTGTTTCAAAGGTTGTCTTCACGTAAACTTTGCGACAGACAACAGAAATATGAACACTGAATAAAACCAAGCGTCCACCTCTTGTACTCGTCTCAAGAAAATTATGAAATATTTCATTCAAAAAACTACTGCAAGAAATAATGTCGACTTTATCGATTTTCTTAATAATCAAAGATGATATTTTTGAGAGGTTATCTCGAGATCTCGCTGATAATTAGTAGCCCAATCAATTTCATTCAATGTGGATGCTGATTGTCATCTGGGTCTTAGTGGATTCCGCGAAAACGTCTATCGCCCGCCAGTGTGTGGTCTCCTTGTCGGCGGGGCGGGGCGGGGCGGGGCGAGGCGGCGCGGCAGGTGTCCATCCACGCGCAAAACCCGTGCCATACCTTACGCTCCAATTCATGAACTAACGAACGAGGCGAAGAAGTAACAAGCCGGCCCCGCCCTCCCCTGCCCGCCCGAGCGCTTTGCAATTAAAGGCAGAAAAAAGAAAAAAAGAAAGAAGGAATGGCTGCACTCGATTTACTGGCTCGCGTCGTCTTGACACGAAGCATTCCACAGCGTCCAGCAGACACTGCGTCCAGCACGTCATGTGCGGCGAGGCGAGGCGGCGAAGCGCGCCAAACGTTATCATTTCGGTTTCTTCTTCTTTCCTTTTCGTGATTAAAAATCTGCAATGCCGCCATTCATTAGCGAACTGGCCGGGCAATGCATCTGACCGGGACGCGAATGTGTTGAAACGGTTTCGCGGTGCAGTCGACGAGTCAACGACCCCCGGCTAGGCGACTTCCCGCCGCCTCCTGGCGTCCGTTGGGTTGCCTACCCTGCTGTTGCTGGGCGCTGGGTTGCCTGTCTTGGCCGGATGCCTCTGTCTCTCTCGCTCTCAGTGGACGCCCCACGAGTGCGACAAGGGCGTGGGAGTCGAGTCTGCTGCGCGGTGGGCTGCCTATCCGCCGGCGGCCAGTTTGTTTATCTTTCAGTGCCCCTTCCCCTTTGGTTGTTTGCAGGCCGAGCCAGACCGCCGCCAGAGAGAGACAGCGGACCGACGTTCGACGACGGGACGCGTCCGGGCGAGAGGCTGCACCGGCCGTGCGCCTGACTGGTCGGTGGGACTTTCGTCCGTTTGCGTCCCGTCGTCCCCAGCGCACCGTGCGTGCACGCTGCGCGCTGCACGCCGCGGCCGTTCAAACGCCCCGCCGCCGACGACGTGCCGGGCTGGCGGGGACGCCGCTATCCGCGGGGCTCCATTGGCCGGCGGCGCGGCGCGGGGCGGCGTGCGTTGGTGACAGCCGTGACAGCGAGTGACAGGCGTCCGAGGCGCCGGCGCCGCGGCTACCGTCTCCGTCGCGCTCGTGCCGCGGCCGCCCCGCGCGGACGCACCCGCCCGCCGCCATGAGCTCACGGCGTGCCCATGTGGTGTTCCCCGGTCCCCGGCGGGCTGGCGGGCGACCTTCCCCTCCCCCGCCCGCCGACGCTGACCCACCCGGCAAGGTTTCAAGCGGCACTCGCACACCAGCAGCCCGACTAGCTCCGGTGCCTTCGCCTCACGAGGACACTCCACAGCAAGCAGCCTTCGCCTCCGTGTGGAAATTCAGTCCCCAGCCGAGTGAGTACGAACAGAAAGGCCTTCTGCGTTTGGCCTGGCCGAACACGAAGACGCACCGCCGCGCGCGATGTGGTGTCGGTGACCACTTTGACTCGCCTTCCGAGTAGCCAGTCTCTTTCTCGTCACGTTCACTGTCAAGGCTAAGCGCAAGGTCAGGCCCATTGGTCAGGCCACCAGGCCGGTGCACTGTATACTGCAGGGGCTTGACACGCACCGCCCAGCCGACCTGGCTGCGTGCGTTATCTGCTGTCTGGGGACTCTAGGCTCAAGGGAGTCCTGCCCTGCAGTTATCATTGACGCAGTCCAGTGCTTGGACATTACGTTGCTTTAATCCCTGTATTAATTTTTCTGTGTGTGGAACGTTGGTAAATTTTTGATGAAACGTCATTGATTTGTTTTTTCCTTTTCTGGAACAGTACAATGCCAGGAGACCGCCCCAAGCTGCGCCTGGGCACCTACATGTGTCCCAGCCACCCTGTTGAGCTGTACGAACTCTTCATGAAGTACCTGGAGGAAGAGCTGCCCTGTGAGGCGACTCTTGTGTACGAGTCTCGTGGTGGAGGTCCTTTGCCAGACCGAGTAGACCCCTTCACAGCAGACACGCTTGACATTGGTGAGTAGTTCATGTACTGCTGCATTTTAATCTTTAAAATACTTATTTGAGCGAGAAAGAAGTCTTACATTCGGCTTGTTTTATTCTCAGCCTTTGTAACACCAACTGCATATGTGAAAATGCAAGATTCCAAGAACCCACATGTCGAACTATTGCCAGTAGCAGCTGTGTTTAAACACCCTCGAAATTTGGACCAACAACCTGGCTACTTTTCTGACATTATCATCCATGTGGATTATCAGTGAGTCTAGGCTCAATACAACCAAGCATACTGTCGTCATTTGTTTTACATATTTATATTTATCATGGTAAATTTTATTTTCAGGAAACATGTCAAACAGTTGCTGGATCTCAGAGGCTGCATTTGGGCTTATAGCAGTGAACATTCACTCAGTGGTAGTGCGGTAGTTCTGAAAACCTTGAAAGAGCAGGGAGAAAATGCGTCATTCTTTGGAAATATGATAAGTCAGTATTTTATTCTGATAATTTCTGTCATTTGATGTTTTCTCTTACTGATTGACAAATTTTTTGCTTGTAGAGTCAGGATCTCATCTCAAGTCAGTCCAAATGGTCCTATCTAAGCAAGCTGAAGCGGCAGCTATTGATGCCAATACCTTGTCTTACAACAAGAAATACTTGCAAGATGGAGGAAAAGATATAATTGTTCTTGAAAGTATTGGCCCATTACCACCATACCCCATTGTCGTCAACAGCCGCCTCAGCAGTAAGTTCCTAGCAAATCTTTCAGTTTCAAAAAGAACTAGTTACAAGTATAACAAAACAATTGAATTTCTGTTTCAGATTCTTTAAAGGAGAAAATTACTCAGGCTTTTCTGAAGATGCACTCCTGTCGCTTATGGGGTGAACGGCTCAATACTTTCGGCATTTTGAAAATGGTTTCGAACAGCGAAGATGCCTACATGAAAGAGCGAGAGCTTCGTAATTCCATTAAAAATACCAGTCTAGGTGTTGCATACTACTAGTCTCCACAATTCATTGATAATGTTCATTTAATCTAAGTTTGATCCTAGTCATGGTTTAAAAATTTTTACCTTAATTATTGTCTGTAGCTCTACATTAAGAAAGTAGTGCATAAATTTTATACTTTGTAAATAAATTTGTATATGATTTTTGATTTTGTGTTTCACTGGGATATACTCTTCAATCTGACTTTTTTAAACACAAGACACAAAATTTAAAATTTCAGTGCTTGTGGATTTGTATTGTTACAAAGTAAAGTAAAACAACTCAAACCTTGAAATGGGCACTTCAGCACAGCTAAGACTAATTTAATTTAAAAAAGAAACTACAAAAGTAAAAGAAATTAAGATACAAATCTCACATAATTAAGTGAAGGAAATTCACATCAATGAATAGGTCAGACCTTAAGACATTGGACTAAAATAGTCAGATATCTTCCGTTTAGGTGCATTACTTCTACTTTTTTGACTTGACCTCACACCATCTGATTTGGCCTCCTCAACAGGTACATTCAACTTTTGGGAATCTCTTACCACAATTTCTTCACTTTCAGATTCTTTTTTCCTCTCAGGAGGACTTAATACAACTTCTTCTCTATCAGAGTCTGTCTTCTCTTGCAAGTTACTCAACACAGTTTGCTCTCTTTTGGATTCTGCTTTTTCTTCAGGAGAACTACTTGACAAACTATTTTCTACCTTGGATTCTGCTTTCTTTCCAGAAGAAATATTAGATATACTTTCTTCTTGTTCAGATTCTGTTGATTTTGTAGCAGAACCAAACATCTTTAGTTTTCCAACCTCCGCAAACCCTGAAGAGGTTCCAGCCAGGCTGACATGCACATTGGTCTTTGCCGGAGTTCTATTGCGTAGTTGGTTGTCTACTGAGAGACTCTTGCTCACACTATCTTTCAGCAAACTTTCTTCGATTAGATCAAGACAAGAACTGCTACTTCCATGGACTGACTCATTTCTTTTTCTAGGTTTAGCTTCAGCGGTGTCAATTGGGAGACTCTTCTGCTTGCTCACACTATTCTTCAGAACACTTTCTTCAAGCAGATCGAGGCAGGAACTGCTACTTCCATGGGCTGGCTCAACTCTTTTCCTTGGTTTTGCTTCAACGGTGCCTGCACAATCTTCTGCATCTGAATCAAATTCTTCAATGAGTTGGTCTACATCCTCTGGAGTCAATTCGGTTTTTAAAGTGCCTCTACCAGTGTTTGATTTGGACGGGGTTTTGCTTGAACTTGCACCACTTGAAGTAGGTTTGGGTTTTGGTTTTTCTGTAAGACCTTTTTGTTTACAAGAAACAAAACTAGCTTCTTGGCAATTAAAGTCTTCTACAGCAGAAGAATAAAGAAATTCATATAATTCTGTAGTGGAACTAGAGGAGCTTGAAAATGTTTTGCTGAATCTATTTAACAAACCCCACAGCTTTCCTGCAATGTAAATACCTTAGTAAAATATATTGAATTTTGCAGCAGTTTTCAGTAGCAGGAAACACATAGATTGTACATACCAACAGTTACATTGTTGTCAATGAGAAATTGATACATAGCAAATATGCGATCACGAAGTTTTTCGTCACCAAAAGTGAAGTAGACCAAAGCACGGCCAGCCTCACCAGCAGCAAGTAACTGCAGTAAAGCTTTCAGATGAGGATCACCCCGAAATGCACCACATCCCCAGTTTCCCGTTGCAACTGGTGCCAATGTATTGCTGGTATGATCCTCAGGTTCACAAAAACCAACATACGCCTAAGTAGAAAAAAGAAGGCACCAAAGTAAATAAGAAAGACAAAGTAGTGATGAGACAATTAAAATTATGCAATATCCAAGGACTCAAGCTTACCTTGTTAACTTCTCGAACCAAGTTTGGGATACTGTACTGACTTGATGAGTTACTAAAGCAAAGAGCATCCATAGCAACAATAGAGCAATGTCTCCGTCCAGCAGAATCTAAAGGGGTTTCGTCTGTGTAATCTGAAACCCATTCAAACGAGTGGCCATAACCACTGTATTGATTGAAACGTTCACAGCCAATCATCAGCAGAGCCTCTGTTGCATCAAGACACTCTGTGAACAGTCGGCTTACAATGAGCTCAGGGCATATCACAAAACGAATCTCTTCTTGGACACAACCCCATCCCAAGACGCCCCCTCCAATGAATCTGGTCAAAGAAAAAGAAGAGTTACTTGTGCAAAATGTTTACAATCATGCTAAAAATTTGAAGTGTTGACATACTTGTTAGCAAAGTCAACTTGCAACATGCCAGCTCCTTCATCTTCAATACAGCCACTACTTCTGATGTGCAGTTTAGGTAAAGGCTTGGTACTTTTACTCCAATCAGGAAGAGATCCAGTGGGTATATACCGTCTTGAAAATGTCACAGTTCCAGTAGGTGCAGTTTCTGAAGAAGAACAATAAATCAGATACATAAAATAGAAAAAGACACTCAAATGGAAATTTTAAGATAATAAGCAACTAATTACCAGTGGAACAAATTCGCCGGAAATAATTCAGAACGCATTTCAGTTTTTCAACAATACTGTTTGAATCACTTGAGTCACCTGATTGAAATAGTCTACAAAAAAAGATAGTGTGCAGTTAATTTTAAAGGTGTTTCACAAAGAATAGGAAAAAAGTAACATCTCTACAAATTCAGAATAATCCACTCTTTTAACCAACCTGTTAAAGTTAATATCAGGATATGATGAATACTCTGAACCCCTCTTGGTAGAATTTCGTCTTGGAAATGTACAAAAGAATGCATTTGCTAAAAGAGATCCAATTTGTATTTGGCTGAGAGTCAAAGAATGGGATTTATGCTTCCTCAACAAAGGAATTGGACCTGTAACTAGCTCGGGCAGTTGAAGCGCCAATATAACCATGGATGGTAAAACTTCTTTAAAAAAAATATCTGTTTCTTCTTTGTCTAGCACCTGCAAAAGAGAGAAAATAAGTGACAATAATAGTAAAATATACAAAAAGATAGGGGTTCACAAACAGTTATACAAACATCATTGAATAAGGAATGTAGAGCTCTAAAGTTCCATCGTTCATTGTATCTAGAATTGAAAGAGAGAATAGCTGTCTCAAGCTGATGGCTATTTGAAATGGACCTCAACAAAGCCTCCTGCACCAACTCCCAACGCAATCTCAGCCCCTTTTCATCTTCCGTCTGCGATCAGAAGTAAAAGAGAAACAAGAAAGTATTTAAGACAACTGTACATTTAAAAAAAATTTAAGTATTGGAGCATTGAAAACAGCACAACTTTACCTCTTGAACTGGGTATAGACTCTCTGATGAATGAGGCATTCGAACATGTTCCTGATCCCATCGATCACAAGGTGTAGGGGGATATGCAACTGGTGCTTCGCCTGCTTTCCATGGTAACTGATGATAGGATAGATATATTTGAGGTATATCACATAATTATTTAATAATGAAATAAAGGCAACTATTCAAGAACAAAACCGTACTTTGAAAAGAACTGAGTGATTTGGGGATGGGATGACAAAAGGACGGGGCGGAGGTCCCCAGCGACCACAGGTACGCTGAAGATCTGAGAGAGGCACACCCTTGCCTGTGGCGACTGATTGTTTTGGTCCATCTTCTGAAATCCTTTGGTTTAAGGGAGACACTTCAGATTCCTCATCGACATTCATAGGCTCTGCTGCAAAGTGTAACCAATTGAATATTAGCAAACGAAAGGCTCAACTATCATGTGCGGTAACTACTAAAAAAATAAATAATTGTGAACAAGTTACCATGAGGTGGATCATCAACATCCATGGTGTCATCATCGCCCGGCCACTGATTTTTGATATCAGATGACATGACACTGCTGCATCAGAAATTTCCAAGATTTGATGACAGCAGGAGCTTGACAAACTGAAACCAGCGAAAGTCAGATTAAGACGGCGAGAATAAAGAGCACGAAAATGGTTTGTGAGACCTATTACCTTTCAGATGATCCAGGAATAAATGTTTACAATGATATGTTTGGGTTGCAGAGGTTAAAGTCAGCAACATAAATGTATGTAACTCAAATTAAGCATGATAATAAGAGAATCACAACCGTTTGACAAGACTGCAGGCATTACCGTCATAGTGCGTTATTCCATAATATGTTCTGTTTTGCATAAATTTTGAAAATATCAATAGTCAAAACATACTGTACAAACAGCTGATTTGAAACCGCCACCATTTCACACAGCCTTCTCCAACCTACCCAAACAACACACAGTCTGTCCACCGTCGTTAATTTATATTTATGCACTTTTACGCTGGACATTGACTGTTGTACAATTTATTAAGCTTTCCAAAAAAATCAAATTGATGAAACACGTTACGCTCTTATCATGAACTACAGAATAACATTCGTTGACAAGGGAATTCCATTGTGCGTTAAGTTGGTAGCTCCTCAAAACAAGCAGAAACCAGGAGAAATAAGCAGAAACAAGAAACCAGGAGAAATAAGCAGAAACAAGACAACCGGCTTGAAAACCAAACAAAGAATTTTAAGAGGAAAGAGTCTGTTCAAGAAATGTCAGAAATAACTCAAAAAATGAGGAAGCTTGGAATTCGTTTTGATCCACCTTCACTAGTCTTAATATATAGCAATGACAAAATGAAACTTCACCAAAGAGTTATGCCTGTGCGCAACTTTAATGCAGGCTCAAATGTGAATTTTTTTGCAACTCAACTGAAACAGCGGCATGAAGAATTTCTGCACTCTGTGCCTCTTATATCTATCGAAAAAATGTTAAGAATATTGCAGGTAAGTGTATCCATTCTTCAGTAATGAAAAGATGTTTACAAATAATCATAATCCTTTATTTTTCACAGGAGCACATAAGAGGCTCTCCTCTCGAGTCTATCTTGAAGAATATTAACTCAGAATATGAAATAAACCCTGATGAAGATTTAAACAAACTAACCGATGACCAGTTGCATCGGAAGAAGCTAATCATGGAGGCTTCGTTTGTTGCCAACCAGCTTCAACCTTCAGATCCTGACTATGAATACGATAGACAAGTAGATTTTGAAGACAACAAAATAGAATCAGGATGGGACTCGGAGAGTAATGCAAAGGAGACTGAGACAGATGACTTTTGGGGTTGAACCAAAATATGTTTTATTGATTCATGGATTGACTCACAATAATTTTTAATATTGTGCAAGTTCAGTCAGCACCCTCAAATGTCTACAGAAAATAAACACAATGGCATTCCAAACCCTCTCCTCTCACTCTTTGAGGCTTTTCGGAGGCGCCCCGCCGCAATGCCCCGAGGGAGAGGGAGGGAGAAAGGGAGAGCGCTGTCGCGCCGCGAGCGCCGCGAAGAAGGGCCTTCCGTTTCCCTTTTCCAGCAGCTGGAGAACTGGAGAACTGGAGACGACCCTGCGAGCCCTTCTCGTCGAACCATTCCCTGTTCGTAAACAGTCCAGGACAAAAATACAGCATGTCCGGTTTTCTGGCTGTTAACGGATGTGTTGAAATACAGTTCGCTTTTAAAAGAAAACGTCTAAACACTCTTTTGAATCCACATTGTTGCACTAGCAGGTTGGCAAGAAAATCCCTCCAGCTGCGAGTGAAAGGGGTGGGGGGTGGGGGAGGAAGCAGAAAGGCAGAGTGGAGTGACCGAGGGCAGGGTTGGGAACCGAGAAGAGAACACGATACGTGTATGCGTCAGCTTGCAGCGCTTGCAGCCTATCAATAGCTGCGTTTGAAGCTATCTGACTCGATAAGCCGGTGCCAATGGCTCCATCAACTAAGGACAGCCGCAGAGGTACGTCGCCCCTGTTTAGCCGCGGGTGTCATTCACAGGAGGGAGTCCCTGGCGAGCTCGCGACGCACCCGACCCCCAACCCCCTTGTATACGCGGTCAGTCTTCGCCTTTCCATTCGTCCGAACGACGTGCCGAACCGAGGCTCCAGGTTGACGGGCTTCTTGAAGCAGGAGACGAGCTGGCGCGTGCGGGTCCCGGTTTCAGGTTCGTCTGCTGTCATCCCTGTCCGGCCCCATATGCATTTCGGCCCTTAACCTCCCGATTCGTTCTCGACCATTTGCACCACGTCGTAGGCCTAGTCCGTGCGTGCCGGCCGACGGACGCCGCTGGACGGTCTGCGCACTGCCTAAAGCCGGGGTCTTGAGTGACATGTTTTCGCCCTTCGGAAAGATTGATTTTTGGAGTCAGTTGAAATGACATGTGCTCTGGCATAACTGGTTTCAGACATCAAGTTACCCTTTGTGACTATTGTTATGAAAATAAATACCTTCAGAAAGGTTTTCAAAGATGTTCTTGCACTATTCATCACATTTTATTGCTAACCCTTAAATCAAGTTGTGTTTACCTGTCACATCTGCACATTACTTTTGTATTGTTTATCATCCAGCTCCTCTTATATGTACTTTTCACTTATTGCAGAGGCTGCAGTACACTTTACACAGTACCTTTGTGCTACCAATAAGGTGTCTTCGGGAAGTCCATCGATAAGTCGTGAAGATTTGAAAAAGATTTTTACTGAAGAGTATCAACCCTATTATAATGTGCAGTGCCTCGAATTGAAAACTTTAATTCACACATTAACAATGGCTGGATTTCTGGTGAAGCACACTTCTAATGGAAATCCATGTGTGACTTTCAAATGGAATCGTGTTGAACAAGCAGCTCTTACAAATGGTAATTACATTGGGCCTGCCCTGCTATTTTTATTATGCTCAATTAGTCAATTAGTCTCAATTTTTAAATTTAATCTTTTGAAAATTTTGCCTCAGGACATCTACCGGAGAAACCTCCGTCACGCCTTACAAAACCAAAGCCACGATTGATTGTTAGTCAAAGATACACCCAAATCCGGGAAAATCAGGACAGACCTGATGGTATAACAGATGAAAAGTGTGACTTGTGTAAAGTGATTTTATCTCCTCACACTGCTCAGGAGCACAAAGAGACGGAAATTCACACATTACGTGTGGCATACCGAACCAAAAAGTAATGTGAGATTTTCTCAATTTGGTTATTTATCTGTTGTCATCCTCTTATTAAGTCACTAAATGATTGCAGGAAGAGTTTTGATGATACAAAGCACTTCCTGAGTGTGCAAATGTGTGACAAGGACTCTGCAGAAGAACCTCTGATAGGCGATCTTAAGAAGTCCTGCAGAGTAGGCAGTAAATATGATCTGAATCTCCTTGTAACTAATCTGTTTGATGATAAAGAAATTTTTATTGAGAAAATTTTGCAGTTGATGCCTAATAAAGACATCAAACTAGAAAACATAGAGGCTGAGACACTTTTGCCTGGTATGAACAAAATGCTTTTTTTAATTTCATTTCATCCTGTCATTTTCTACAATGCAAGTTTTCTTCACCCACATTTTCTTCTTTCTATCAGGTAAACCAAAAACAGTAGGAATACAAGCTCAATTTTCAGCTAGGGGTGCTATAATATTCCCCTTGATATTTAAGATGCTGCCCTCAGGTTCTGCTTTGCCCAAATACTATTTGAAGGAAATTGTAAGTATTATAAGTTGCTCTTATTAATTTGATGATTACTGAATGAATTCCTAGAAAGTCATAAATTTTTTGTTTTCAGTACTTTCTCACCCAATCAGAGCTTATGGATCAACTCGCACCATCAGAACCTTTCCGTCCTTCCATGGGACCAGTTGTAAAAGTACAGGACGCTCCAATTATTCCTGGGAAACCTGCGGAGTTGTAAGTATTTTCCATTTGTTTGTGTAAATTTTAACGATTTTCATGAATATATATTGTATATCTCTTTTGCAGCACTCAGGCTTCAGAACTCAAGGAAACTTTGGCTATTTTCAAACGTCCATTTGAAATACCACCTGTTTTACTAAGATTTCTTAATAACGGATTTAAGGAGCATGCCAACATGTCCCCAGCTGAAAAGAAAAACCTTCAAACAATCAGGTTTGTAATTGTCAAGTTGCAGAGCTCTTCTGACAAATTTGCTTTGTAACTTGCCCTTGCTTCTTGTCGCACCATGATTAAATCTCCCCTTTCATTTTTCTAGGGCCATGCTTCCTCAAGGCAATTCTGCAGATGCACTTACACCTGACAACTACGCTCAACTACTAGAGCTGCTGCTCTTCATTGAGGAGCATCAAATGAGCAGAGATATTCATTATTACGATATGCATGATGCTGTTCTGTTCAAAGACCCTATGGGACTGTGGCTTGAGGTATGAATTGTATTTAGCACTTCCATCCTAAATTGTTATTTTTGTCAATGGATTGTTACCTATTTTTTGTTAAAATCCTAGGTGCCTGGCCTCGTTGATAAACGACCATCTCTCCTTATCAATGATGTGTTACATGTTAGTTTTTGTGAAGACCAAGGAAAGCGTAAATATGAGGGACATGTTCACCAAATACAGGGCAGTCAAGTTCTGCTTGGATTAAATGATGCGTGAGTACTGAAAGAAATTCACTGTCTGTTTTGTAACTGTTCATGAAACTCAATCTCTCCTTTTTGTTCTGAAACAGATTTTTTAATAAATATTCCAACCAAAAACTGGAAATTCAGTTCAATATCAACAGGAGGGCTCTGAAGAATATGCACATAGCTTTGTACCTCATTAGTTGCAACAAGGCACAACATCTACTTTTCCCCTCCCTGAAGACAAAACCTCTATGTCAACCTCCTCTGAGGTGAGTAGTTGACAGGTTGTTTTTATCAGATAGGTTGACATCAACTCCTGAATAATAGTAATAAATTTGTTATGAATGTCCTGATTTAGGCCGTGGTTTAACAGAGCTATTGAAAAGAACCCGGAGCAACAGGCGGCTGTTCGTAATGTTGTTCACAATTCATCACAGAACTCGCCCTACCTGATTTTTGGTCCACCCGGAACTGGCAAAACTGTCACATTGGTTGAAACAATCTTGCAGGTAGTTCATCCTCTTCTACTAATTTTGATTGCACATTTTGACCTTTCTATTCTACCTTTATGTTTGATGTACCTAAACTTCTGTTTGCTCCACAGCTGTGGAAACCTCCATCCAATCAAACTCGCATATTAGTGTGCACACCATCAAACTCGGCTGCTGATGAAATTACCTCTCGCATTCTGAGGGTTATTTATGATCATAATCTTGTGCCAGCCACTCGGGTGAAAGACCACATTTTCCGAATGTGTGCTTATTCACGTCCCTGGAACCTTATGCCTAAGATTATTCAGGATGCTGAGATAACCAATCATGACCTTCGCGGTGGTGTAGTTACTTTTCCGAGGAAAGAAGTAATTATGACATATGACATTGTAATTGTACATTCTCATGTGCATCCAGGTACTGTATGAATTGCAGAGAAGCTTAAATTTATCCTCATTTGTGATTAACCAGTCCATACATTCCTAAATTTGCATTTTTTTAATTTTTTGCAAACTTTCAGATTGGTTTCTTCACAGTTTCCTGCTGATCACTTTACCCACATCATCATGGATGAGGTTGGGCAGGCTCTGGAGACAGAGGCCTTGATTCCTCTAGCTGGTTTAGCGACCTATCCCAAATGCCCCACTTTCACGTGCCAGGTTGTCATGGCAGGTGATCCCAAGCAGTTGGGACCTATACTGCAGTCGCCCATTGCTTCTAAATTTGGCCTAGGTATGTGAATTTTACTTCTCTTTTGATGCTGTTGCGACTGCCCTTCAGTTTCCAGCGTTTCCTGTTGTCTTAGTTGTGGTATATGATGATTTTGTTTTTCTTAAAAAAAAAAACTTACAAATGATTTTTTTTTTATTTTTTTTTTAAGATAAATCTATGTTGGAGCGGCTAATGTCCTTGCCATTGTACTCCAAGAGACCAGGCACAAATCGATATGATCCTAATGTCTTGACAAAGCTTGTTCTTAACTATCGGTCCCACCCAGCCATACTTGAAGTATCTAACAATCTATTTTATGATGGGGAACTTAAAGTAAGTTTTGAACTCCATTTTTCTTTCTACTTTACTTACTCTATGTGGTTTAACTAGGTATTCACTTAATTCTCTGTATTGTAGCCTATTGGTGATAGTGATGTTATTGAAGCTGCATGCAGCTGGAAAGGGCTCAAGAAGAAAAATTTCCCCCTCATCTTCCATGGTGTAGAAGGTGTTGATGAGCGTGAAGGATCATCTCCCAGGTGAAAGATCGAATTCTTAAGTCAAGTTAAATATAATTTGCAGGGCGCATTGCTCATCAAAATTTACAATTTACCATGGTTTGTTTTGTTTCTCAGTTTCTTCAATCGTCAAGAGATTGAAGTTGTTACTGACTATGTTCAGAGGATCATTGCTGATAAAGTAGCCAAACATAAAGAAATTGGTGTTGTGACTCCTTACAATCAGCAGGTATGCTCATCTCCCATTTGTATAATCTTTCCTTTAGCCTAATTTTGGATATTCTTTGTTAATATCTCTATTTGCTTGCGCAGGTGAAAAAGATGCTCAAAGCACTCAATATACTGAAATTGCGCGATATTGATGTTGCATCTGTGGAACAATTTCAAGGTCAAGAGCGCAAAGTTATTATTATTAGTACTGTTCGCAGTAAGCCCGAGTTCCTTCAATTTGACTATATGTTCCAACTTGGTTTCCTCCAAAACCCCAAAGTAATTTCTTTTCCTGGTTCTTGTAGTGGCTTTTATACTTGTCATGAGGTTATTAATTTTGTCTTGTTTTTCCTTTTGCTTTCCTGTTTTAGAGGTTCAATGTTGCTGTCACAAGGGCAAGGGCCTTGTTAATTGTTGTGGGTAATCCGAATGTACTCCAACATGATAAATGCTGGCGCACACTACTGAAACATTGTGTGGATAATGGTGCTTATACGGGTGTACCTTTCAAATTTGCAACTGATCAGCAAAGTGAGGATAACTTAGACAGGTTGCTTCAGTCTGACTTTGGCAAGCTGAAAGTGTAAGTACAGTATTGAAGGACATTTTTTTCCTTTCATTTTTGGTATGATTTGTTCTCTTTGTTCTGGGGATGTCTATGACATTACTGATGGACCTTTTTAGAGAAGTGATATGATAGTTATTTGGTTGTTTCATTTTGCCATATTGTTGAATTGTGCTGCTAAAATGATGAGTTTTTAATTGAATTGTAGATCTGATGATCTGTGATTATTATTATTTCTAGTTCTCAGAGGTCAGCTGAGACTTAAAACTCAAGTCAAGTGCAGTTGTCTATTGTCACTACCTTACTTGAGAAATTATTGTACCTTATGAAGTCTTTGTCACATTTTAACTTGAATTGTGATGTTAATTTTTTTCAAGTCTTGTGCACATTATTTTACATTTGTACCTGACAATTTTGTGTGATTGTTGTACTGAGCTTCTGTTGCTCTCATGCTGAATTTTGTCTGGCATTAACTGTTTATTTTAGTTCTGGCATCTTGAGACTTGAGAGCATCTTTTACTATTTGTCTTACAATCAAACAAACCCTGTACTGTACAGCCATTAATTTTGTTTAAAATTTTAAAGTAGGGTGTCAAATGTGACTGTATTTCATGCCGTAATTGGCTTTTTATTTGACTTTCGAAATAAGCCTTGCATCAAGAGCATTACATTTTTTAATTAATTAAAGTCTCTTTTGTTTTACCCTAAGAAACTGGAGGAAACCATTACTTTTCCTATACCTCTTTTTTTTTTTATAAAAGCCTTTGATTGGTGATTTACACTACACTTTTATTGTGATAGCAGAATATTGATATATTTTTACAAAAACAACGTACATCATAGTAAACGGACACTTAGATTAATTAGTAGAGCAGCTAGCAGCTCGTCACTGTAGTCGAGACGTGCTTTGAAACGGCCAGCAGAGGACCGTGAATTCCACCGAAGACGGTCCGAGGCGCGCTCTTGCCGCATCGCACAGTGGGCCAGAAGACCGGTGGAGGCAGCCAAAACTCCAGACGCGTTTTGAGCTCCAGAGCTAAATGGGATTCGAACCGAACGTGTGACCCCACCAATGGACTGCTCTCCGAACGAGGAATCCATTGGTAGGGTCACACGTTCGGTTCGAGTCCTGCTTAGCGACTCTGGAGCTCAATACATGTCTAGATTTTTTGGCGCCGCCACCGGTCTTCTGGCCCACTGTGCGTCGGGTCCGTCCCGTCGCGTCACACACGAGTCACACCATGGAGCCGACGACCACGCCCTCGCAGTGCTTGGTGAGGCAGCGCGAGTGCGTGCGCACGTGCGCGCGGACGTGCACGTGGCCCCGGTGGCGCGGCGGGTACGTCGCCAGCTGCACGGTGGTCCACGTCCGCGTCCACGTCGAGTTGTTGGTGAGGCCGTTGCCGTTGCGGTGTGCCTGCGAGGCCGTCCCCGGCGGCAGGCAGCGCGCCACGCCCGGCAGCCTGGCCAGCGCCACGCGGTAGCACGCCCTGAAGCGCGCGTTCATCCAGTAGTAGATGAGCGGGTTGAGGCAGGAGTGGCTCATGGCCAGCCAGTGCGTGCAGAACCACAGCGGCGGCAGCCCCGCCCAGTCGCCGAGCCCCGTGTTGGTGTCCCACGCCACCTGGCGACGAACACGTCTCACAGTGGACTAGCCAGAGGACCGGTGGAGGCGGTCAAAATCCCGGACGTGGTTTGAGCTCCGGAGTCGCTAAACGGGACTCGAACCAAAAGTGTGGCCCCAACAATGGATTGCTCTCAGAACGAGGAATCTATTGGTGGGGTCACACGCTCGGTTCGAGTCCTATTTAGCGACTTTGGAGCTCGAAGCGCGTCTGGAGTTTTGGCCGCCGGCGCCGGTCTTCTGACCCACTGTGCCTCTGTACCACACTACACTGCAAGGGGCACGGACTCACCACCAGCGCGTTGAAGGGCAGCCAGCAGATGGTGTAGCCGGCCACCACCACCACCATCATCTTGATCATCTGCGAAGTGAGGAAGCATACAGTGAGGAAAGCAAAGAAAAAAAATGCCCCGCGTCGTGAGGTCACGAGCAACCGCCTGGCCTTCCCCCCTAAGTAATGCAATAAGACGGGCTTTTCATGCCCGCCTTCTCCTCGAACGTGAACGAGATGCTCCCAAGAAGTCTCTTCGAACTGTATGTAGCGCTCCATGTGGAAGTTTGCCCCCGAGAGGAGCGTTCGCGCCTTTACGGAGAAGACGGCGCGAGCTTTCGCCCTACTGTCCAAAAAAAAATTACAGAAAAAAAATTGCAGCGCCTTGGCCTTGGGATTCTAATTGAATGCGGAAGTCGAAGACGGGAGGAGCCGGAATGGTGATAATATTAACAAGCGGTCGGATTGAGGCAGACGGCGACCGGGGGGTGGGGGGAGGAGGAGGAAAACTCGGAGCGCGGACTGAACGCACCCCGCTCAGAGGAATGCACGCCGAGACAAGTCAAGACGAGAGGTCTCAACTCGTGTCCACTTCCACTTAGTACTTTCCCGGGGAGACGAGACAAAGCGATCGGGATCAGTCACGCTAGATATTGGCTCTCGAGGGCGACTCGGAGGGCGCGTCGCGTTGGATTCAATGGATTCAATTGGCGCCACTTTGCGACAAAAGGGCGCGAAAACGCGCTGTAAACTCGATATCACAACGAGCGCAAAATGAGAAACTATGACCCCAAAATGGTCACTGCTTGGGACTTGAGGTCATTATGATCCCCTTCAAGGTCAAAATGACCTCAGCGTGAGGGGGGGGGCTGCAAGCACGCGGCCACTGGCGCGCGGCCGCGCGGGTTTCATAAGACAGCCAATGTTTGTTTTCGTTCGCGGAGACGGAAGGACGGAAGACGGAGAGGGCTTCGTACAACTTTCCGGTGTGATTGGTTTGCCCCCCAATTTCCCATCCGCCCCGCCCCCTTTTTCCCGCCGGCGGAATATTCGAGAAGTGGATCCGGAAAGGGAAACGGAATAGCGAGGTCGTCTGCCTCTCGTCCGGCCGGCCGGGCCTTGGGCCGGGCCGCGCCAGAGCGGCGAAAGCCGAAAAGAATGGTCAAAGTTTTCTAATTGGACCGCAATAAGAGTGAAACAGGAAGTTCATTTCTGGATTTCCGGCGCTGATCCGCGAAACTCTCGCTCTGCGCTTCCCTGCCGGAGTGTTGGCATTGCAAACTCACGCGCGGCCGCGCGGGGTCTCCGACGAGCGATCCCGGCCGTGCCGACCATGCTGATTGGGCTGAATAATGCCGCCATTCGCTTTCATCGCGACGCTCATCCTGCCCCCTTTGACTGACTTGGCCGTCGGAGGCTGCGGTGCCCTGTCGGCCTCGGCCGCGGGCCCCCTCCCACCCCTCACGTCGTCGTCAGGGAAGCCTCCTGTGGATCAAGAATTATCTCTCCCATCTGTCTCCATGTTCGGGCCGCTCCCTCAGCAAAGCTCCCCGGTTCATGCCGGCGGGCGCGGCCCAGCGCGAACCCATTTTTCACGAAAAATCTCGGCAGGGTGCAAAGAGCTCTACGAGATGAAAGCAAATACCTACAAAACGTTTTGAATAAATAAGAATAAAAAAATGTTGCCAAGTGTGAGGAATTTTTTTTTTGTCGTGGCACACTCGCCGCTCTTTCATTTTTCCCGTTTCGCAGCCAGCAGCTACACTGTGCATGTGGCGGCACCCTCTAATCCCCAACGCAAACGCCGTGCCGTCCCAGTGCGCCCCGTTAGCCAATCCCCACACGGAACGAACGCTCCGCTGCGCTTCCACGCCCCAGCCCCTCGCGCCCTTGCGCCCGCGGCGCCAACTTTCAAATTCAAAACCGCTGTTGCCGCTGTGCGTGTGCGTATGCTGCCAAATGAGTTGTCGAAAAAAATGTCCCACGATGCACTCGTGTCGGAAGGTTCGCCAACATCAGCCTGGATTGGCGGGCTGGGGTTGGCAGCCCTTCCGGCCCGCTCAAGTGGCAGCACTCGCCTTCCTCTTGGCGCAGGCGAAGCGGCGGTCGCGGGAGTTCTCCGCCTCGCCGGGCGTCCGCTTCACCCAGATGACGACGGCGATGCGCGCGTACGTGTAGAGCAGCACGCAGCTGGGCGCCAGGTACTGCAGCGACATGAGCGCCATGCTGTAGTGCTGCCGCGACTCGGCCGACGGCCACACCTCCTGGCACACCCACCTGCGGGAGAGACAGGCACTGTACTGAGCGAGAGAGAGAAACAGAGAGACGGACGTCGCTCAGTGGGCCAGAAGACCGGTGGAGGCGGACAAAACTCTAGACGCGTTTTGAGCTCCAGAGTCGCTAAACAGGACTCGAACCGAACGTGTGACCCCACCAATGGATTCCTCGTCCGGAGAGCAATCCATTGGTGGGGTCACACGTTCGGTTCGAGTCCTGTTTAGCGTCTCTGGAGCTCAAATCGCGTTAAGAGTTTTGTCCGCCTGGCCCACTGTGCGTCGGGGACTCACTTGTCGCAGTCGCGGTGCCAGGGCTCGGGCTGGCCCAGGCGGCTCCAGTACGGGATGGGCAGGGCCGTGGCCAGCGCGCCCACCCACACGGCCGCCATGCTGCACTGCGCCTCGCGCCGCGTGAGCCGCGGCCGCAGCGGCCGCATCACGGCCAGGTAGCGGTCCACCGAGATGACGACCAGCGTGTAGGCGGACACGAGCACGGACACGGCCTGCGAGAAGCTCACCTGGAGGCGCGCGTCAGACAGGGCAGGACGCCGACGGCCGTGCCGCCACTCCACAGTGGGCCAGAAGACCGGTGGAGGCGGCCGAAACTCTTGACGCGTTTTGAGCTCCAGAGTCGCTAAATGGGACTGGAACCTAACGTGTGACCCCACCGATGGATTGCTCGTTCGGAGAGCAATCTATTGGTGGGGTCACACGTTCGGTTCGAGTCTCATTAAGCGGCTCTGGAGCTCAAAACGCGTCTACAGTTTCGGCCGCCTCCACCGGTCTTCTGGCCCGCGCCGCCACCCACCGTGTGGCACAGCTCCACGCCGAACGGCCAGAACTGCAGCAGCAGCGTGGACACGAAGGTGAAGGGCACGCACAGCAGCGTCATCAGCATGTCGCCGATGGCCAGGTTGAGCAGCATGTAGTTGGTGGCGGTGCGCATGCGCGGCGACGACATGACGCAGTACATGACCAGCCCGTTGCCCACGAGCGCCACCAGGAACACCACGGTGTACATGAGCGTGACGGCCACGTCGCCGGCCAGCGGGAACACGGCTTTGCGCGACGTGGAGCAGTTGCCCCCCGGGACCACGTCGCCGTCCGTCGCGTTCAGCACCAGCGCCGTCAGGTTGTCCAGGTCCATGGCGACGGCCACTGCGAAAGAAAACCAAGACCATCAGCCAGGTTTGGTTCATGAAGGGAGTCTTGCGGTGTAGGGCCCGACAGGTCGATCACCTCAACGGGACGCCAAAGGACTTTTCTTATCGCATCAGAGGTGTCACCAGGTCAGTATGGTAAACAGCGGCAATGTTTCCCAAGCACTCCATCCCCTGTGCGCGTGTAATCACACTGTAGTTACGCCAAGCGGGATTTTATATTCGCGCAGCGTGGACATGACAACAACAAGCTTGTGTCAATAACACGGCTTGCCGGATAAGGGGGTGGGGATGCCCCGCCGCGCCCCGCCGCGCCCCGCCGCGTCGCGGTTGGGGCAACAAGCGAGCCGCGGCCACGCATTTCCATTCAGACATATTCATGAAGTCGACTGGGGCGGCCCGGCCCGGCCCGGCCGGCCCCGCGCGCTCGCTCGGCACATGGCGACGCTACGGCGGAGCCGCGCAGCCGCGAAGCACGTCGCAGCGCCGCGCGACTTGTATTGGCCACGCCGTAACGGGGACCTGGAACGGGGAAGCGAACGCGCCGCGACGCGCCGCGACGCCCTGGCGGCCGGGCAAACAAGGCGCGGTGCGCATAAACCGCCGGCATGGGTTCGGGGTGAACGGCCGCGCGGCTGCAGGACGAGGAGCCACTTCGACACCAGCAGCACGAAGCGCCCGCGAAGTCGCAGGTAGGCAACGCGCCCCGCTGGGCAGTGCAGCGCGCGGCCTACCCCGCGGTCCGCAGGCGCTTCGGGAGCAAGCTTGGCCGGCATCGTCGTATGCTGGATCTTTCGGGGCCACCTGCCTCGGACAACGTCTCTAAAACTGTGGAGCCACCGGGAATCGAACACTGACCCGGAGATTCGGTCGTCGGCCGGCGGAAATACTACACCCAACCTTGTCCGACGGGTCGGTTTCAGCATTCCCCTTCTCTTACGCACTGCCTTGTTAGCGCCCGCGGCGCGGCGGGCGCCTCGAGGCCCGGAGTGGAGGACGACGGCGGCGTGAGCCTCCAGCCTCCAGGTATGCGGTTTCACTCCGCCGTCAAACCGCCGCCAGCCAGAAATAGAAAACGGCTGAAACGGGAACCGCCTGCGCGACTCGGCGGCCCCACAGTGGACCAGAAGACCGGCGCAGGCGGACAAAACTCTACGCGCGTTTTAAGATCCAAAGTCGCGAAATGACACTCGAACCGAACGTGTGACCCCACCAATGGATTGCTCTCCGAACGAGGAATCTATAAGTGGGGTAACACGTTCGGTTCGAGTACTGTTCAGCGACTCTGGAGCTCAAAACGCGTCTAGAGTTTTGGCCGCCTGCGCCGGTCTTCTGGCCCACTGTGGGCCGGCACGACCGTCAAAGGAATGACAATGTCGGGCACCGCGGCGACCTCGGCCCTTCGCGTCCTTCGGCCCCCATCTTCGGCCCCGGGCCGCGGATCGGATTAGAAAGGATGTGAAAGGAGCCGTTCTCGCTCGCCGCCGGCTACGCGCCTTAAAATATTTTATTTTAAAAAAAGTTCGTAAAAATATTACACGTACTTTCAACTTGCAGAAATTTGAAAAGGTAAAAAAAAAAAAAATTGGAACTCTACACCTCCAGTCTCAGTTGCCCGGCTGGAAAGGCTGGCCGCGAGGCGTCAAGTGAGTCCACAGCGCAGCGGCGCGGCCGCGCGTGGAAAAGCCAAGCTACCGTAAGTCGCGAACAAAAGCAAAGTGCCCAAGAATTTGCATTCGTTACCATTAGCCGGTCAGTCGGGATGACCCGCAGGGCCGCAGGGCCGTGAAGGCGGCAAGCAAGGCGGGGCTGAATCTCACTTTGGCGGAGGGGCACCGCCCTGCCGTCGCGAGAGTGCGCACTCACACCCACTCTCTCTCTCTCTCTCTCTCTCTCTCTCTCTCCGAGAGACCTGGCAACAGTCTCGACGGGTCCGGCAGGATCAGCCTTTCCTTCCGCAACGCAAACAACGCGGCCCGTGTCGCAGCGTCATTTCCCGGCGGTTCGCCTCCCTCCGGAGTATCGCCAACTTTGCCCACTTTTTACCGCCACTGCTCGACCCAGCGGGAAGCTTTGAAGACGTGCGCGGCTCTGGCCGGGCAACTGCGTACCGAGTCCGGGAGCGGGAAATGATGCAGGTCTGATCGGTGGTGCTATTCTAGTGTAGTCGCACCGCGCCGCGGCGTAGGCCTGCCGAGTTACTTCAAACAGACCCCGGGCCGCGCCGCGCCGCGCCGCCCCGCCCCAGTGCGGATCGGCAAGGCGGGGCAAGGCGGGGCCCGGCGTGGGCCGAGGGCCGTGGCCCCGGGCGCCGAGCTGCGACGTTGCAAGTCCTGGCCAATCACCGGTCGGTGGGTAAACAAGCGTGGCTGCGGCCTGGCCAAGGCCCTATGGCCAAGGCCCTATGGCCGTTCCAGGAAGGCAGAAGCCCTCCTCCGGCGTGGCGTGCCGTGACCTCACTTACGGTGGAGCGGAACTAGGCCCGCCGCCGCCCGGAGCGCGCTGCCCGAAGCCGCCCCGAAGCCGACCGGGCAAAAGGTAAACGTCCGCGCTTCTGTACAAGCAGAGCGGCATTCGCAGTGTGGCGTCAGCCCCGCGCAATCCGCCAACTCCGAAACCGGAAACTTCCGGCTGGACTGGCGCCCACAGTTTAATACGCACACAAAGCAACTGGAGCGCGTGACTTCCGAGCTTTTTGTCGCCAGTGCGACGTCAGAAGGGAGGGGAAAAAAAAAGGGGGTGGTGGTATTCGAACCCGAGCCTCGTCCGATCTCGGCAGAAACAACGTATGGCGCGTAATCCGGACCGCTGTCATGAATAACAACCGCCGGACGGCTCCGGCCCCGCTAGGCCCCGCTAGGCCCCGCTAGGCGCCGCTGGGTTGTTGCCCCAAGTGAAAAACAGGGATACCAACCCCTCCACCGCCACCACGAGCAGGCAGGCTGCCGCCGCTCCTCTTCCAGTCCGTCGACGATTGCCACTTTTTTGTCCCTGGGGCTGCTTTCACTGCTAATCATTACCACGGCGGTTTGGACCAGTTAATGAATTGATGGCTGAAGAACAATAATCTGAAGTTTCTTTGTGTGTGCTTTTTCCCTCCCTTTACTACAGCCGAGCTGTCCTAGTGCCTTCCCAGTGATTATGCTGTGGGCCAGATGGTAATGTCCCCCCCCCCCTTTCTGTCTCTCAGCCGCTTTGAGGGTAAGTTCCAGCAAAGTACCCGTAGGCGAGGAGGGGAATCACTCAACAGGCTGACCACCTTGGACATCGCACCCTCCTGCTGTATAATCGCCCTGCACTGCCAAAAAAGAGGAAAATCCCGAAAAGTGCCTTACAAAGTTTCGTCAGGAATTTAAAAAAAATCGTACTACCTCCACTGGTCGAAAAAAAAAAATAAGTTTTTGAAAATTTCCGAAGCCTTTCCTCACTTTGTTGTCCGGCAGTAGCAACGGTTTTTCTTTAAAACAGCGCTACAAATCCGCAATCTGCGACTGAATCCGCGCTTCACTCCTTCTCGCAAGGCGGTGCCGCTGTTTGCCGACATTGCTTGAAACCCATCGGAAACTTTCATGTATTGATTCCTGCTGAAACCTGATTTATCATGGAAATTATTCCATCCGGCTGTCCGAGAATATTATTCAGTTTGGAAAGTTTGACGCGCCGCCGCGTCAGTCAGTTCCGGACGGAAACGGAATTGAGAAAGATTGTGACGTCACCCTGCACAAACAAGCGCCACGCGCCGCGCACCCACACACGCGCCACTCTAAAACGGACGACACTGTAAAGTGGGCGGTTTGCCTGGACAAACCGGTTTAATCCGGTTTCAGCCTCTGGTGTGGCGGCACGGCGGCCGGCAAGCCTCGGGCGCTGGAAAGCCTTGCCGTAAGCCCTGGTGTAAGCCGAGCCACCTTCGACGCGGAAAAAGGATGACTGCTCGACCGAGAGCGGATTTTTGGTTCTGATTTTAACGGCTGGACAACAGGGGCTGCCAAGCCAAGGCCGAAGTCAGAAATGACTGGATCACCTGTTGCGGCTCGTAACAAAGCTTTTTTTTTTTTTTTTTTTTTTTTTCAAAAAATGCGATACAATAGTTATATAATTGCTCGCAATCACGTTCCACAAAACAAAAACGTCTGGTGGTAAAATGCATTTTAAAGTAAAGTATTTTTAATCTAAAAAAGGTGGGTTTGTTCTTGTGGTCCTACCCTAATCAAATTTTTTAAATTAGACTGACTTGGGAGTGGTTGAGGCCCGCGGGCAGTGCTGAGCAGAGGCCTGCTGTCCGTCACTCCGTCACACAAAGCCCAGTGGACGGACGGCTCGGCACTCCAGCTCCCTCCCGAACGAGGGCTCGAACGAGAGCTCGAACGAGAGCTCGAACGAGAGCCCGGCCGTCACCGCGGCCCTATCCATCAATCCCCCCATTTCGCCTTCGCCGCCGCGCCGCACCTTCGCCCACTTCATGCAAACTCCATCGCTGTACATCAGCGCCGCGGGATGTGCACTTCCTTCGCTGCTTCGCTCGCTCCGCGCTCCGCTCCCTTGGCGGCCCCGTCCCCCTATTTGCACTTCCCGCGCTCCACTGCAAAGAACCTCGTCGTCGTCCGAGAACAGAGGACACCAGTCATTCGCCGTACCTCGTAAACCTTGACGTGCGCGTCGACGTGTCGCCCTCGTCGACGTCCACCTCACTGCCGCTTCCCGGACGAGTCGCTCCTGCCGGACGCCGAGCAGGCGGAGCAGGCCGCCATCCTGACCACGACGTCGACGACGACGGCCCAGGGCGACACGTGCGGACCTCGCTCTCGGCTGGCTTGGTGCTGCTAGGTGCTGCTGGGCGCTGCTTGGCGCGCTGGCTGCGCGAGGGCCGGAGCGACTGAGGGGCGCGCGGTGGACCAGCCCCCACCCCTCCAACCCCCACCCCCACCCCAAGGCTCTTCACACCCGTCAGTCCCTCCCTCGCGGCATCCCGAACACACGCCCAGGATGACCACTCAAGTGCGTCATCGCACGTAATTGGTATCGCCCCTCTCTCGCTGCCTTTTTATTTCTCCATTCTTTATTTTCCCGCGTTTTTTATTATGTACATATTTATTTTGTTTGGGCCGAAACCGGGTCCTGCTCCCCCATTCGACAGGTTCGTTATTTCGGCGCGAAAGTGAATGATCGAGGCGCACTTCTCGCGTGACCCCTTTCCATTCCCGCCTTGCCATGTATTTATTCAGGCCTGCCATCCTGCTTCCTTCCGACTCGCACTTTCGCTGTCATCAGGGTCGCTGCATAAGTAGGCACAGCTTCCCACGATGCACCAGTGTCGAAAGAATTGGCACGCAGATTCTCAGAAGCAATGCGCAGATATTGCGCACAGTGGACAGGCTGAGGTTGGCAATCCTTTTTTTTTGACACTGGTGCATCGGAGGGAATTTTTGAATACCGATGAGGCAGCACTGGGTGGATTCCCAGCGGCGCTGCTGGGGCAACGCCTACCGCATCCCGGGCCGGCAGGCGGCACTAGCAGTGTGCAGGCAGCCTGCAGCGCACCTGCTATGCGTTTCTCTGTTTGCGGGTTACGACCCCCAGGTGCTTCGTGACTCCGTGCCACTCCGTGCGCAGCATGCCTGTAGGATTGCGTCCTGTCCGTGTCCGACTTGCTGCGCTGCTTGCTGCGTTGCTGCTCTATGGCGGGCTCATTCCCAACACCGCTCTCTGTCTCTCTCGCACGCACGGGGCGTGCCGTAGGGGTGCGAGGGAGACAGCGAACCAGTTTAGGTATCAGTCGGCACGCAAGGGTGGGGCAATTATGACTCATGAGTTTTTGTTTTAACTGTTCAGACGTTTAATTGAGAATTACACCGACTCTTTAACTTCACACTAACACAAACATGCACGTCACACTCTACACTATTCACAGAAGAAATATTCCGACAAAACGAGTCAAAGTAGGCCATTATTCCACACAACCACTTCAAAAATAAGAGCATTTAAAATAAACGTTACGAGATCATTATCAGTCTTTGAAAATACACGAACTAAAGTATAATGTCACCTGCCTAATTTAATGTTGAATTGAGACATTTGAAGTGAAACTCGGTTAAACATACTCTAGGTTTAGAGGCCTCCTGATATGTACACATCAGAACGCACAAAAGAAAGTCTTTTCCGCTCTTTCAAACATTTCATTGCAGACGCAATGCGTGTTACTTTCCGAACAGGGTAGACTAAGCCTCGTTTTCAATCTTAAACCTAATCTTATTGACCCAAGCTACCCTGCTCTCATACAGCACATTATTGAATCTCCAAGTCTAGTATTAACATAAGTCTTGGTAAGAGAGCTGCCAAGTGAGAGTAAGTTGAAGTTCTATCTACGATTTTCCGAGTCGGTAACATAACTACGTGTAACGCGTCGGCTGCCCGTTACAGTCCAGGTACAACAAGTTATGAAAGTGGTTCCGTGTAGTAACACCCAACGATTCTAGGACCACTTTCTTTTTTTTTTTAAAGTCAAGCTGACATATTTGTTGCTTTTTCTGAGTATAATCGTTTCGACCCAGAATATACTGTAAATTCTTTACCAAGGATTTCGTCAAAAATAACTTGTACAAAAAGTTTTTGTCGACTTGACTTGAGAGTTAATCTTTTGGCCTTAGGCTCAGCCTATTGGCCAGACGACTTGAGTTGACTTTTGTACAGAGTGTACGCGACCAGGGCCGCCACTTAGGGTCCTGAACACTGCTAGGGAATCGTCCAATTATTACATTACGTTTTTCAAAGATCTGTCCTTGTGTGAGTGCGAGAGAGGCAGCAGACGTTGCGCAATACGTGGAAGCACCCTAGAGGGCGTCCTCCAGGTACTGGGCCTGGTGCAGCCGCGTGTCGGCCATGCCCAGGGCGACGCCGCCGCCGTTGCGCGCCCCGGGGCCAGGCATGGGGCCAGGCATGGGGCCAGGCCCAGGCCGCACCCCGCGTCACATGTCCTCCAGGTGGGTCTTGCGGTGCTGCGACCGGAACGACGTGCAGGTGACGGCGGCGGCCCCCGCGGCCACGTGGTGCTGCACGACGGGCAGGCGGCGCGGGAAGCGCGCGCACAGCACGGCCGTCTTGAAGCTCTGCCGGAAGCGCGCGTTCATCCAGCAGTAGATGATGGGGTTGAGGCACGAGTGGCTCATGGCCAACCAGTGGCAGGCGAAGTACAGCCCCGGCAGCCACTGCTGGTCGCCCAGAGACTCGTTGTAGGTCCACACCGTCTGTCCGCAGGGAGACACGTTTTAGCGCGACATTGCGACGCGGCGACGCCCAGTGCAAATACTCCATTCGGTCCTTTACTCACCACGAGAAGGTTGAAGGGCAGCCAGCAGATGGTGAAGGCCGCCACCACGGTGATCATCATCGTCACCATCTGCAAAAAGCACATCAAATTTCACCACTTCAAAAAATAATTTTGCCTCGTGGGGCTGACGCGTAATTTGTGGGCGAACCCCGGGAAACAAAGAGCTTGTGACCCCGGAGTGGTGGAGCCACAGCCAAATGTATGGAAGCCCTTAAGTAGCGTCTCAAGTCACGCCGTCTGGCCGTCCCGCCGGCCAAGTCGAGGGCTGGAGGGAGCCGGAGGGGAGGGTTGACTCTTACGCAAGGACGTCGGCCCAAGAACGGCCTAGAGTCAGACCGACCGACAGACACAGACAGACAGACAGACAGACAGACAGGCAGGCGGAAAGACGCTGCGGACTGGACGCGGCAGAAAAAGACTGATGACCACTGAAAGGCCCGTCGAGGTCTGTATAACAAGGCCAGGAAAAGTGGAGGCGACAGGAAAAGAAGCGTCCTGTTGGCAGTCCTGAGGTCCTGGCGACGTCCGGGCGCGTCCGGCCCCCGAGAGGGAACCGCTGTTCGCAGGCCGAGCAGGCCGCCCTTCCCGGCGCGCTAACCGCGGAGGACGGCGACGGTTCGGTGTGCGCCGCCAGCAAGCACCTTCCGAGGGCCGTGGACGAGGCCGTGGGCGCGGAGGGCTGTCGCCGGCGGTTAGACTATCAGCGCGGCGTCAGGCAGGGCCAGACCGATTCCGAGATTCCTCGCTGTCTCTCTCGCACCTGTGCTGGAGTGCTGGAGAGACAGAGCGACGGAAACGACTCTCGGAGTCAGCCTGCTGGGCCGGGCTGGGGAGGGCTATTCAGGGTGCGAGCCCTTTGTCGATGGGACGCGGCCCTCGGGCGGTGTGCCACAGTGTGCCACACGCGGCGTGGTGTTGCCAGCCCTGACAGCCGCCCTGCCGCCTTTGCCCGCCACAGTCGTGGACGCGTCGTTTTCCGGTGGGGCGGTGGCTGCCGTGGCTGCAAGGGTAGAGGGCGGAGGGCGGAGGGTTGGCTTGTCCAGATTAGTCCCGTCCTTGTCCAGCTGCAGGGCGGCCCAGCGGCCCGGCGTTCCAGGAACCGCGCGGGGGGCGAGGGCCGGCCCAGCGGACACAGCGGGCACCATGAGGCGGGCACCGCGGGCCGCACGTGCGCATGACAGCAATGCCAGGCAAATACGAGCCGCGCCGCGTAGCGTTAGCACCGCCAGCACGGCCTTTCATGCCTCCTCGACACCGCGCCGCCCTTCTTCACCTTCCACCGGGTGTCGCTGTGTCACTGCCAGTGTGTGTGTGTGTCCACCCCTCGGTGGTCCAACCACAGGCTCCACGCCGTGGTGAGGCTTCGGCTTCAGCCCACCGCAAGCGTGTGTGCGTGCCTGTGTGTGTGTGTGAGTGAGGCGCTGGGCCGCTGGGCTTCGTCGCTTCGCCACACGCCCGCTAGGCGGCGCTGCTGCTGCTGCTCGCGAATCATACAGCCGTTAGGCGGCGGCTAAGCCCGCGTTCAGCAGCCACACGCCTCGCCGACAACTTTTCCACTAAAGCAAACTTTTCAGTTTCAGCCTGCATGCAGCCCTGTAGTGAGGGCGCGCGTGTGTGTGTGAGTGTGTGTGTGTGTGTGTGAGAGAGGGAGAGAGAGAGAGAGAGAGAGAAGAGAGAGAGAGAGAGAGAGAGAGAGAGAGAGAGAGAGAGAGAGAGAGAGAGAGAGAGAGAGAGTATGTGTGTTTCTTGTGTGAGGAAAAGTGGAAGAGTTCTGGATCCGATGTGGATGGACGCACGCTTTACTTTAGCAACCGCCTCGAGCGCTCGCTCACCTCTCCATATACACACCTAAGTGGGAACGGATCGGCTTCAGCCCACACTCCGAGCAAACAAACAAACAACGCACGCACACACACACACGCGCGCACACAGCACTCCCTACACCCTCCGTGTGTGGGTGACGCCGAGGGTGTAGCCCCGGAGGAGGTGGCAGCGAGAGCGGGCCACAGCCACCCGAGTCCACAAGGCAGGCAAAGGCTCCCGCGCGCGCCACCGTGCGTCACCGCTAGACAGTGTAGGGGCAAAGAGCGCTCGCGGGAAGGATAACACGAACGCGCACGGCAAAGGCAGAGAAGGGGTGGACATAGGAAAAAAAAAGCGGGACGCCGTCGGCAACCGCCACAGCGAGTCACACGCGGGCAAATTATTCATCTGGCCACAGCCAGCCACAGCTGGGGTTGCCGCGGGGTAGCGCCGAGCGCTGGCAGCGCTGCTACTGCTGCTAGCAGGGGGTGTCGCCGGCGCTGGAAGCCAGACGCCCTCGCACCACTAGCGCCCTCTGGCGGCGGCTCGGCCGAAGCCACCCTGGCGGCTGGGGTATGTCGGGGCCAGTCGGGGCGAAGGCGGGCCTCGCGTTTTGCATGTCGCGTCGAGGGGCCTCTCCCTTGAATGTCAGGCGGGGCGACGCGGGAAGATGAGGGGAAGGCAAGATTTGAATCTCGCGAGCCGCGGGCCTCGGCGTAGCCGCGCCGGGTCCCTCCGTGTTTGCTCAAGCATCAAATAGCGGCCCGGAAACAGCATGTTCTCTCGATATTTCCTGAGGCCGAGGCGGAGTCACATGAGTCTGCCAAAGACGGAAGGAATCCAGCGGCAACATGAAAAAAAAGCTGCTGGATTTTTAAAGTGAATTTTCTGCGCCTCATTACAGTGACTCAATTAGCTAACGAGCGAGCCGCTGATTCGGCTCGATTTTTTTCTCGGATTTCTTATCATCTAGTCGGGAAGCCAAACATGATGAGACACATCAAACGGCGCGCGTTGGCAGGATGCCACCTAAGGGCGCCTGGCTGCCTGCCTGCCTTTAATAAGGTCTAATACCTTTGGCCCTTCGCCTTTGAGGGCGGCGAACACGTTATTGGCGGGTCCGCTGCAGCTCGGTTTCTAACGGCTCGTCGTTATTAACTCGGTCCCGCCTCCCTCCTGCCTAACAACGCGCCCTTCCATAACGTCGGGGGATAAAAAGCGCAGTCCCTTTTATTACCAATCATCCCGCCTCGATTGGGCGAGCCAGGCCCGCCACTGCGCAACGGCCCACTCGACCCGGCGGAGGCTATCATGCCGGGACTGTGGATGAGCTCGGCCTCGGCGGGAAGCTGGAGGGCCACGTGGAGTTTGCGCCAAGCGCGCCAAGCGCGCCAAGCGCCAAGCAGACCGGCGGAAGCTAATTGGCTCCGCGGATTCGGACGCGCAGCTTTTCCCGCGCTTTGTGCCACGCGTGCCGAAGATCGAAGGAGCGATCGATTGATCGACTCGACGCTCGCCAGCTGCTTCCCTCGTGGAGAGCGGGGAGGCAGCTACTCTGTCAACACAGCCCCCGTTTGCACAACAATAAAAGCTGCCGCCGATCGCAGGCCCGGACCGCCGAGGAGGTTTGTGTGTTTGTTTTCCTTTGCGCGTGTGTGCGTGCGAATGAAGGTCAATGTGTAATATGTGTGGCTGTCCATAACCGGCTCCAGCCCTTGCGCGGGCATTTCCAGCCGCGTGTACACTCTCAACGCCGAGCTTGTTTTAGCCCTGGGTAAGAAAATAGATGAATTCTCGGTCGGTTTGCTTTCGATTTTTGTTTGGACTGTGCACGGTAAATAACACCCCTATGGAATGTGCGACCCGCGCGTCCTCTGGCCAGCCGGCCGGCCTAACCTAACTCGATCTCGGCCTTCGTTACCCCGCCTTGTCGGCAGGCCGCTGCCGCACGGCGCCGTCTGTCTCTCTCGCACTCATGGGGCGTGCCGTACCAGTGTGTGTGTGGGAGAGAGAGAGACAGTCAGACAGAGACAGAGCGACGCAGCGTTGTTCGGCGGCAGCCGCGCCTCACAAAGGTGGGGCCCTTTGCGGTTCACGCTCACCTTCCTCTTGGCCTTGGCCAGGCGCTGGTCGCGCAGGTTCTCCGCCTCGCCGGGCGTCCGCTTGCCCCAGATGACGACGGCAATCCTGGTGTAGGTGTAGAGCAGCACGACGAGCGGCGCGAAGTACTGCAGCGTCATGAGGGCCAGCGTGTAGTAGTGGCGGTGCAGCGGGCTCGGCCACTCCTCCTGGCAGACCCACCTGGAAGCAGGGCAAGCAGGGCGGCATCATCACGGCAGGGCCAACTTTCCGCGCCGGAGCGGCGACTGGGGGGCAACTGTTGCCTCTGCCTTCGCCTGCCTCAACTCCCTCCGACCATCGCTGTCCGGGTGGAAGCAATTCCTGCTGGTTCCCGCGTGAAACCGGAATGGCCAACAGGAAAACACGAACGCGCAGTGTTGCCACATCAGCAGCCAAAACTTCCCACATACAGCAGTGCCGGGCGGTTTTGACCTCCTCATGGGGCAACACCGCCGCCGCTGGGAGTTGAACCCGGGCAGTGACTCCTCATGTGACAACCCAGTGGGAGTTGAACCCGCGTGCTTACTTGTCACAGTGCGCGTGCCAGCTGTCCGGCTGCGAGAGGCGCGTCACCATGGGGATGGGCATGGCGGTGATGACGGCGAACACCCACACTGTGAGCATGGCGCCGTGCGACAGGCGGCGGGACAGGCGCGGCCGCAGCGGCCACATGATGGCCACGTACCGGTCCACGGAGATGGCCACCAGCGTGTAGGCCGACACCAGCACGGACACCGCCTGGCAGAAGCTCACCTAGGGCAACGTCAGACACAGGTTAGTCATTCGAAAAAAAACTAAAGTCACCAGAAAAAGAAGTTAGTTAAAAATGATGAAAGAAAAAAATGATAAGAAAAAAACATTTAAAAAAAGCAGTCAAAACTGACAAACATTGCAAAAAAATTGACCGTCAAAATGAATGACAGTTCGAACGACGGCGCTCTGTATCCCGCGCACATGGCAATCTTCTCCAAGGTCGGGATTATCGTCCCAGAACGCCACGTGCCGGGAATGCCAGCGCCGCGCTCTGATTGGCCAAGCGGAAAACGCCATCTCTCCGCAGCCTAGCGCAGCCTAGCGGGCTCTAGCAGGGCCTTCTCGATCCGGGTCGCCCGGGCTGGGCGCATCGCCCCGCTGCACGGCCCGGCGCGGCGGCCCTCTTGGCGGGGGCACAGTGGGCCAGAAGACCAGTGGAGGCGGCCAAAACTCTAGACGCATTTTGAGCTCCAGAGTCGCTAAATGGGACTCGAACCGAACGTGTGACCCCACCAATGGATTGCTCTCCGAACGAGGAGTCCATTGGTGGGGTCACATGTTCGGTTCGAGGCCTGTTTAGTGACTGGAGCTCAAAACGCGTCAAGAGTTTTGGCCGCCTCCACTGGTCTTCTGGCCCACTGTGGGGGGCGGCGCGCCGTCATCACGCAGCCCCCCCGCGTCCTCCACATACGTCAACGCTGCGGCCGGCAGGTGCGCCCCACTGCCGTCGCTCTGTCTCCGTCGCTCTCGTGGGCCGCGCCGCTGCGCTGCGAGAGAGACAGAGCGACGAGCAAGGCCAGGGTCGGGGTCGGGGATGATAACCGGCACCCGAATTTCTCATCCCGGGGCAGGCACATCCGTTATCCTCCCACACCAGGGCCAAACATTCGCGGCGCCCTGGCCAACCTCGCCGAGCTCATAAAAGGGTCTGGTTTAGAGGCACTACAGGCTCCGCTAAAATCACGCATGTGTTTTGTCCGCGCGGCCCGCACTGGATTTCGATTGCGGTTCCGGAGGCCGCGCCCCGCCCCGCCCCGCCGCGCCGCGCCCCGCCCCGCCGCGCCCGCCCCGCCGCCCCGCCCCGCCGCGCCCCGCCCCGCCCGCCCGCCGCGCCCCGCCCCGCCGCGCCGCGCCCCGCCCCGCCCCGCCGCGCCCCGCCCCGCCCGCCTCCCCGGTGTGTTGGATTTCCCCTCGGAGTCCGACGGCGAAACGTGGATCGACGACTTGACCGAATCTCTCATAACCGCGCCGTGCCGCGCCGTGCTGCGCCGTGCCGGGTGCCGGGCTGCCCTCGGGTCCGTCCTAGTTCTCCCCGTTCCAGCTTGTCTTTTTGGCCCGACCATGCGACTTGACAGCGGCCTCGGCGCGGCCTTGGCACGGCCTTCGCGCGGCCTTGGCGTGGCCTTGGCCCGGGTCTGGCCTGGCCCTGGCATCTCTCGCGGCTGGTCGAGGCGCTGGTCGAGGTGATGGTGATGTACGGGGCACCCTCACGCCGAGCCCCGACCCCGCGCGGCCCAGGGGCCCTTCTTGTTTCGGTGGCCGGCGCCTCCTCAGTCCACTCACCGCGGAGGTCGCCGGAAGTTGGGGCAATAACGGGAACAAGTGGGCCACGGTGATTTACAGTAAAACTTTTACCGGTTAATACTTACGGAAATTGTATTTTTTTACATTTTAAATTCGGATTGACATTTTTTGGTGGCGCGCTGCTGACTCATACGAAGGGAGGGAGGTTTTCCCGCCGAAACGGACAGAGAGTCCGGCGGGCGGTCTTCAACTTTATATCTCTCCCTCTCCGATTCTCTCAGTTTAATTATTTTCCCGGCCGGGATATTGTTGCTGCGCACGCTGCCCACTACTTGTGTACACTCTGACGTTAATATCCCAGCGGCCCGAATAACCAACTCCCCGAGCCCGGCGGGCCGGCCTAGCCTCGCCCTAGCCTCGCCCTAGCCTCGCACCGGGATCGACCGGAAACTGCTCCGACTTACGGCATCACGTGACGGCGCGGCGCCTCGATAACAAGACCGTCTCGGACAAACTATCGACCAAGAAAACTCGCTTCTCCTCACATATTCACCACCGTCGGTTTTGTTCTGCCTGGAAACTCGGATGAGGGCTGTGTAGCGTGAGAGTGGGCGGGCGGCAGTGTTGCCACAAAAGTAGGTGAAAAGTGCCGCGATGCACCCGAGTCGAACGGGCTGCCAACCTCAGCCTGCCCACCAGGCAATGCCTGGCCATTGCTCTGGAGGAGTTCGATTCCTCCTAAGACTCTCTGCTGGAATCCTGGCTGAGTCTTTCTTCTTAGATCGAGTTGCGCAACGGGCAACGGTTGGCAGTGCATCGTGCAACTTTGTTTCCCTGTGTGGCAACGCCGGGCCGCCGTGAAGCGCGAGGCGAAGGGCACGACACTGGCGGCAACCGGTACCCGGCGATGCGAGCTCGTCGCCGCCCGACCCTCGGCCCGGCCGCCCCTCGCGCGGCAACCACTTCTAACTGGCTCTCGCTGAAACTGAAAGGAGCGATCGGTAGCGGCGCCCTCACGTGATTGGCCCGATGCGGAATCCCGCTGCGAATCGTGAAGCAGCGGTCCCCGACCAATCAGAAGGAGCGACTAGCATCTGCCACTCTCTTAAAAACAGAAAAGAAAAGGCTGTGGGGCTTGTTTTAAATTTAAACCAACCTTGAGCGCGATTTTTTTTCTTATTTTAAGACTGAAGGTTGGGTGGCATCTTTCTGGCCTCAGGCTGGCCTCGCTATCTGTTCCACCTGCGCGGCGACCCTCCACCTAAAAAAGACTAAAAACTACCGCCCTCCTTTGAGCCAGCGGCTACATGCTGTACACTGCACGTATGTCCCCTAACTGTACGTGCACCAAAGGTATGTGGTGTCGTTTCAGTCGGCACCTCTTTTCCTCGTGGCGATTGGATGACGCAAGGGATGACGTCATTATTTGGGGCCGTGCAGATGCTCACATGTAATGGCCCCCCAATGGGCGTGCAGCCCCCATCGTGGCACACAAAGCAAGCACAAGAGGGACGCGTGTTCGTGTGTGCGAGGGAGAGGGAGAAAGAGTGTGTGTGGTGGGGGGCGTATACGTATACGTGTCAGCTGCAGGCCTCAGTGAGGGCCGTGAGCGCCACGCGGGCGGCCGGCTGGCTTTTTAACGCGATCACGCCCCTTTTTGCGGCTCGGATGGCCGCCAACTTTTGAAATAAAAAAAAACGCGTTTTACATCAAACAAGGGAAGGGCTGCTTTCGTGCTCAACTCGATGCGAACCGCATTGTTCCTCATCCCTCATCCCTATCTACTTCATTGTTCTGTATTCCTCTCTGTCCAACTTCAGTTTTCCGAATTTCTGTCTGACTTCATTGTTCCTTATTCCTTCATCTCTGTCTGGTCTGACTTCATTGTTCAGTGCCCCTTCATCTCTGTCCGACTTCAGTTTTCCGCATTCCACGTCTCTGTGCGACGTCTGTATTCCCGGGTATTCCGAATCCCTCATCTCTGTCCGACTTGATTGTCCCGTATCCCTCATCTCTGTCCGACATTCCACAGACAGGCGCTGAGCAGAGCCGATGATCCTTGCTGCCTGTCGGCCGGGCGGCAGTGTGGGAGAGAGAGAGAGAGGGGGGGTGGAGGGATGGCTGGCAATTGGACTAAGCGATGACACCCAACGTCAGAGACGCATAGGCACTATTCATCTCTCTCAGAGTCACGCTCTCTTCTTCCCAGTCAACCCCTCGTATCGCCCCGTCTCGCAGGGCTGACTCCGTCGCTCTGCCTCCCTCGCACTCACGGCGCAGAGCAGGGAGAGAAAGACAGCGACGAGCTTCCGCGATGCACGATGGGGCTCGCGGAGCCCTGCATCGAAAGCCACACCGTGTCCCGACGCATCCTGCAGGGCATTGTGTGGGTGCTTGGCTTCCGGGCGCGGCCTATCACCCCGGACCCGCAGTGGAGGGGAAGGTCCCCAATCCCACGGGATCCGATGCGACGAGTCCTCTATGATCCCTTCCTGCTTTGTGTGGCCTGTGGCCCCTGCCTGTGGCCTCCACTGCACGGCCAGGTCGCAGCCAACACGTTATCAAGGGGCTGGGCCCGTGTGTGGACACTGCCGCACGCTGTTTATCGAAAGCTTACTTCCCTCTTTCGATCCCATTTTTTTTTGCACAGGGTGAGAATGTGACTGGAAACTTACGCTGGTAGGACTAGGAGGAAATTATTTTAGAGTGTACCATGTATTGCCTCGCATAAAACAGACCCTGCTTAGTAGTAATGTTATTCCGGGAATGCCGCCGGCCTCTGTGCCACCGGACGCCGACCAGGGCCCCTTGCCCGGCGAGGAGGGCGGCGGGGCCCGCTGTCGCCCGGTGCGCTGCGGCACTGGACAGCGCACAGTGGGTCAGAAGACCGGTGGAGGTGGTCAAAATCCTGGATGCGTTTTGAGCTCCTGAGTCGCTAAATGGGGCTCCAACCTAACGTGTGACCCCACCAATGGATTGCTCTCCGAACGAGGAATCTGTTGGTGGGGTCACTCGGTCGGTTCGAGCCCGGTTTAGCGACTCTGGATGGGGCCCAGAATCGAGAATTTCAGCCGCCTCGACCGGTCTTCTGGCCCACTGTGCGGAGCCATTCTGCCATTCTGCATTGGCGATTTTCATCTCCATAACGCGAGTCAGTCTTCCTCGTTTCGCAGACGCCAAGCTGAATTCGTGGAAAATCGCTAAGTTAGGACTTCCTCACGAGTCTTGCGGGCCGGGCGGCCCGGCGGTGCGTCGAAGCCGCGCGCCGGTCGGGGAAGAAATGAATCCTACACTGCCACAGTGCCACGGGGAGGAGATAAAGCCAAGGTTCAGACGCAGGGACACTTGCAAGTCCCTTTTAAAAAAGGAACTGCTTTTCAGAGTTCTTCAACGACGGCGAAATTACTGCCCTCGCGAGATCTGTCCCCGCCCCGGGCCCGGCCCGCCCGGCCCGGACGCGGTAAATTCCTGGAAAC